TGGCGCGTAAAACTCCAAGGGGGTCCTTGAAAATACCTGTAGCTTTCAAGCCGGCTTGTTGCTTTCCCACGTCCTACGGAACAAAGCGCCCCGCATACCCCCCCTTGTGCAACAGTAAAAAAGACAGGCCAAAGTGTTCATTTTAAATGGGATTTCCCGGGTCCTACAGGGACAAAGGAAACCTGCAATTTTAGGCACTCTTTTGATTTTCGGCAGTCTCTGTGAGGCAAAGCTACCAGTATAGGTTCCGTTTGGGGTGCAAGGGCGAGCCGGTTTGTGGTTCAACAAACTGGACTTCCCCGCTTCAAAAGTTGATCGCCTTTCTGGTGGATTCCCTTGAATTGGAGGTTCCAAGAAGGGACAAGGACCACGTCAGCCATAGTTCTTGATGGACACTGAGTGAACAGATTGTTGCTTGCAACCCTGCAACTCTGATCTCACTTCCTGAGCGGATTGGCCAAAACCAAAGCTTTCAATCTGCTCAATCCCCACTAAAGCCGGCCCCAAACCAAAGCTTTCAAACTTTTCAATCCCCACTAAAGCCGGCCCCAAACCAAAGCTTTCAAACTTTTCAATCCCCACTAAAGCCGGCCCCAAACCAAAGCTTTCAAACTTTTCAATCCCCACTAAACCCGTCCAAGCCCAACAAAAATGTTCTTTTTGGACCTCCGGCAGTGGCTGGCACCCGGCGGCTTCTCCCACGGCCGGGGACGTCTTTGGGGCTCCGGGCTGTTGGGCGCGGGCCTTGGCGCCCAGGCCCCCTGAGACGGATCTCGGAGCGGATCCGTGGCAGGCAACCCTTGGTGCATCAAATGTGGATCCTGCATTAACCGTTTGGTTCGCTTGGATCCGTGCTTTTTTTTCTTTTTTTCTTCTGCAGCCCCCAACCTAAAAATGATTCAATTTGGAATAATTAACCAACAACAAGCCTAGAAACTTGCCGGAATGGTGTGTTTTCTGCAGCCCCAACCTAAAAATGCAAAGAACGAAAACAACAAAACAACCTGAACACTTGTTTAATAATAGTGTTCACCAAAGGGTTCCCAAAACGTCGCCACCCATCTGGGGTGGTGTGGGGCCCCATTAGGGGTTGTTATCGAGGGGAAAAGCACACCACTGAGTATTAGCCACTAGTAGGTTTTCCCCCACTTTGACACGCACTCGTTTGTACTCCCCAAATCCACTAATCCAGTCGACGCGGCAACTCTACTCCCATCCTAGCATTTGGCTCAAGGCAACTGGTTTGTGGACACTCAGTTGCAGAAGGAACGCCTGCGCTGCGAGCCAGAATTTTCACTCTATCCTGAACCAGGAAATTCGGCCACAAAACACATTTGCTCTTCATCCTATTCTTCTGCTTGATAGGCGGCACTGGGAGGCCCCCCCACTCCCGCTTGAATATGGCAGGGAGATGTGAAATGAGTCCAGTACCTCTGTGACATATGCCTTTCGGCTGCAGATCCGCCGGAAAAGTGAATCGCGACCAAAGGAAAACACAACTTCCATTTGCTTCAGATCTGATCTGTTGTTTGCCCTGTTGATTTTAAGGGGAATCTATCACTAGCGGACATATGTTTTGTTTTGCTTTCTTGTTTTCCCATGTGACTCATGCAACTGGCGACGATTCTGTGCAGATTTGGGCAAAAGCTTCTGCTGGCGTTCAAGGTAGCACTTCACTTGAGCTTCACTCCAATTGGTGGATTGGATGAGTGGTTTGGAGATTTGAACTCGTAAATGGGAAGCCTGTCCCTAATCACCAAACCACCTGTCCAAACTACTAATTGGAGGGAAGCTGACTTATTACAGGTGTCAATGCGGGGAAATCAGTCCAAATAAGTGTCCCAGATGGGAATGTTGTGTTTTGTGTGGGGAAGCTTGGTATATGTCAAATATGACTCAAATTTATATTTGCCCGGTGCTGGGGCTTGGCCTTTCCTGCAAAGTGCAGTTTAGTCGCGTTTTTTTGAGAACACGTATATGGGTGGCTCCGTGACTTTTGAGGATACCTCGTTTTGGGTAGGTTTCAAAACAAGCCGAAAGAAGACCAAAGCCATTTGGGGGCTCGAATCCTCAAAAACAACGTCCATATATCGTTTGGATTCAGAGTGCGTGTTCTTTGGAAGACCCAGAAGCTGTCGCCGCTGAAATCGGAGCTGCCCAAAGTTGCTTCCGCTGTTGCGCTTCCGCTGTTCTTCGGAAGCTCAGTTCAACAGGGGCCCTCTGAAATGGTTGGCGTTTGTTTTGCCAGGCAGATTGCTGAGGTGGGAGCATGTCAAAGCCGAGGACGTCGAAAAATGGGCTTGTTGTCATGCTCTCTTTTTGTTTCGGCCATGCCACCTCCTTTGGGCAGCTTCGGTGTCAGTTTCGGGTGTGAGATGGAAAGCCCCCCCGGAGAAAACCTCAGAGTCCTTCCTTCCTAATGGAAAGCCCCCCCCCCCCCCGGCAAAGAACCTGGGGGAACCGTCCTTCCCATTTCCGTTTCTCAGTTCCAAAGCATCCACTCCCCACCACCTTGGCGAAACTCAGAGTCCTTCCTTCACAATTCCATTTCTGATTTCCAAAACGTCCACTCCCCACCCCCGCCTGCGCCGCCTGGGCCGCCTGGGCTGCCTGCGCCGCCGCTTGTGCCGCTTGCGCCTGCTGCTTTGGCTCCTCGGCATAGGTGCCTAGGCCTGGCGCAAAGACGTTAGCTGCAGATCAGACCAAGGTCATGAATCTGTATGTACACAAAAACGTAAACCAACATGAAATAAATATGTATTTACTTATTCATTTATTGTTCTATGATTTTATCTCATGTCTTTTGTGAACACCTTCCCCTAAATTGGTTCGGTAACAAGGCTTTGTGCTTTGGGTGGCTCTTCTTCTTTTGAGTTGGACCCCTTTTTGTGGTTAGAGGGAAACCAACATAAATTCATTATTCTGGGGGAGTCCCCTGAAAAAAACACACACACACACACACTCATATACATTCATACGTATGTGTATATATAGTACGTCTGCTGAGGAAACACTTCTCAAAGGGGGCGGGGATCCCACGCATACACGCATTAACTCACACAGAGGGTTCCTGGAAGTGTTGCTATTAATCCCATGGATGGTGTTGAATAGCTAGGGAAAATAAATGGCCACCAGCCACTTGCAGGGGTTCTATCTTAAAGACACACCCACTTAGTGGTGCCAAGGAAAATGAGCACAGTTCAGCATCGCCAAGAAATCTACACGACTTTCAAGTCCGTGCCAAGCGGACAAGTTCATGGGGTCCCGAAAAGGGGCACCTGGACGGGTTGCAAAAGGGACATGTCGAGTCGCCGATTCTTGAGAAACACGCCATCGCCAAAAAGGGATAGGGGTGCCCAACCAAAGACATAGAACGCCCTTACCGGGGTACACAGAAGCCCAATGGGCTTCTGTGTTGTGTTATAGGATCCCCCAAGTGCCCCTTGGTCCCATGTCGTGTCCCATCTCAAGTGATCTATTTGCCAGCCAACCTTTGCACAAGATCCGAAGTAATTACAAAAAACAAAACTACGAACGCCATGAGTCGGCAGTCCCAAACAGGGACATCGAGGAAAAGAGATCTGTCAGACTTTGCTTGGCGCTGGCTTGGAATTAGAGCCCTGTCTGTATTGGAGGTGGCCCAGTGGCAATATTATTTTCTGTTTGGCTTTTCTCCGTGATAGACTCTTCCGAATTCGCAGACGCCAAATGGTTAGAGTCAATCCCAGGCATTCAACAAAAAGTTTCAATTCGTTTTGAAGGTGCCCAGTTTTTCCCGATGACCCGGACATGCTGCGCATGCCCAAGACATGATGTAAAGGGAACTCCGACACAGGGAGGGTTGGGAACGTTTGTTGGCTTGCGGCTTCAGTCAAATGATGCTTGCCTGTGAGAAGAGCATTGACATGACTCGCTACCAGCATGCTGCCAGGAGCTTTCCGAAAGCCAATCTTCAGCTTCCCCTGCACGCATGCATTAAGAAGGATGACAATACCAATCAGAGGAAGTCCTTTGAACCTTCTGTCATTTAGTTGTTTAACAAGGGGCCCTAAAATGATGCCGTCAAACATGACCCCAAAGGCACCTTATGACAAGCTGGCTACCCAAAGACGATGTCCAAATCGCCTGCCATAAACGTAAATTCTTCAAGGCCAAGGACGTCCCATCAAAACTCCATGTCCAATTCCATCAGCAACCGTACATGTGCGACCGCGCGGCTTTTGTTAACCTGGACTGTTCGGAGTGGGTGTCAGGATGGATGCTGGCCATGCCAAGCAGCAATGAATGTTAGGCTTCCGTCCATCGCAAGCAAGCCAGAGTATCACAGAACCGCCCAAAGTGAAAGGATCTACGGCCCCTGGATTCTTTTTTCACCTGAACAGCCCGGGTTCAACGCTACGTTTGCGTCTGACAGGGCTGGCGAGACTTTGGTTTCTATGCTGCGTCTGGCCGAAGTACAAAAACATCCGGGTGTATCTCGAAATGGAGGGCCTCCAAACCAGGGGCGGCTATGTTTCAATCTGGAACGTTCTGGACAACGGTTGGTCGACAGACCAACAGAGAACACAAGAATACAAGTGATGTCCACCAAAGCTGCCAGAAATCAAATTCAGGTTGAAACAACGATCTCTCGGCTCGAGCTTGCCTCAGCGGCACCCGCGGAAAATTTGGACGTGTCTCCCCTCGTGTTGCTGACTTTGCAGCGTCCGCAAATCGAGAATCAAAGCACCAGCTGAGCGAGTGACGCACCCAAGGACTTGAATTGCTTGACGTGAATTTGCTGACTCTCATCGGCCAAAGACCAAAATACACCCGCATGTTAAAACAAGCCCCAGAAACACATATCAATGTACAACAGGAGCGGAGAGCGGACAACCAAGGTGGTGCTTTGATCTAAGATCTTCATGTCGCAAGCCTCGGTACATCCCATTCAGAGCAACTTCATATGGCTCAAGACGATCATTTCAGCAAACTCCTGAGCATGTTCCATGATTCAGTGGCCCATGTCTAAACGGCTCTGGGATTTGCCAAGGAAGCGCTGGCTCGCCCATGGCTCAAGGACACTCCTGGAGATGCTCGCAGGGTTTGTCTCCAGATTCAGCTTCCTTTCAACTGCCCAGTTTGATACTGCCCGACAGATGGGGCGACAACTCTCAAAAAACGTGGGCCCTTTTTGGCTTCCATTTAAACCAACCCAAAGGGGTTCCCTCATCAAAAAAGGCAGCACACCCATGTGGATTCCAACTTGTTACCATGTCTCACGAATGGCTTGCCAAGTTTACTTACTTGGCCATGGGAGGAAAGAACACTCCGGTGGATGTGGAAGGGACATCCGTTTGAAGCCAATGCGTTGACAATGGTCACTGGGTGACTCGGATGGTGAAGTAAACCCCTTTGGACAAAGCCGAGTCAGCTTAAAGGTAGGTGACGTATCACACACTGCCCGGACTTCCTCCTGAGACCCTCTACGACCTGTTGGCAAAAATAATTGGTCTTTTTCATTGGGTGAACACGAGGAAAAACACCAAAAAGACGACTCTCACCACCAAAAAGTTACCCATGGTCTTTTGGGGGCCAGGATTATTTTCTCTACCTTTCCAGTGAGCAACCGTGGAACAATCCCCTGCGCTCAAAACGGCTCCTCAGATCATCGGCGCCTGAAGCAATGCCGGAAATTTGTGGCGAAGGATTTAAGCCCTTTACAATACATGTGTGCGTCTCAAAATAGGGGACTCCCGAAAAATGGTGGTTTCCCTTTTTTCCTTTTGGTTTCCTTTTAACACTACCTCAAAAAGGCTACCCTCGCAAAAAGACACACCCAAATCAACAGCTTCTGCCAGCTTAGTTGGATTGCGACATGTGCTTATAGAGTTTGTAGCTCTATCCAGATGCTTGCATCAGAGCCATAGCAGAAGACTGAGAGCCGTTGTCATCTTAAAGACTGGCAAGGATGGTAATTAGCCCCAGCGTCGGGAACCAACAACCTGTACAGCCCTAGTAGTAGTGGTGGTAGTAGTAGGAGTAGTAGTAGTAGTAGCAGCAGTAGCAGCAGCAGTAGCAGTAGCCGTAGTAGTAGTAGTAGTAGTAGTAGTAGTAGTAGTAGTAGTAGAAGTAGTAGTAGTAGTAGTAGTAGTAGTAGTAGTAGTAGTAGTAGTAGTAGTAGTAGTAGTAGTAGTAGTAGTGGTAGTAGTAGTAGTACCAGCAGCAATGGTGTACTAGTGCCAGCACAAGTACAAGTGCTAGTACAAGTGCTAGTGCTAGTCGTAGTAGTAGCCGTCGTAGTAGTGGTGGTCGTAGTGGTAGTAGCAGTAGAGCAGTAGCAGTATTGGTAGTAAAAGTAATTGAAGTAGTGGTCGCGGTAGTAGCAGCAGCAGGCAGAAGGCTAAGTGGCAACTCATGCCTCCAAAAGCAGAACCTCTGGCTGCCCTGTGCGCGCTTGCAGCTGGGTTGACAAAACACAGCCCTCTCAAGCAACACGTCTTGTTGACAGCAAGGTACGTGACTAAAGATACTTGCTTCCCAGAGTTCCCATGTCAATATTCGGATGCCTCCGCGCACATCACAGGATCGTTCAAAATCCTTGCGGCCGCTGACACATTGTTCACTGCCCGCACTCACTCCAACACACATGCGAGTAAATCATCAAAGACGTACATTGCCACAATTTAGAGAAATGGATAAGCTTGGACAAACGAACAAGCGGGGATACGGAGGGAGCGGGGATATGGGGGGATTCCCTTGGCGCCATTTCCCATATCAAACTTATTCAAGGTGCATTTCGGGGGAATCCTCCCGTATCCCTGATTCCCCCTGTTGGTTTCTCTGATAAGCATTCATGAGCAGAACAAACTTCAATGATCTCCAGAGCAAAACAACACGGCGATCTCGTGGCTTGGCAGGACATAAGGCAGGCGAAAACTTCGAGCCGGAATTCAGCAAACAACTCTAACTTCCATTTGCTTTTTCGCCCCCGGGAAAGAGCAAACACATGTCCAGTGATAGATTCCCTTTAAAACCAACAAGGGAAAATAACCATATTCTTAAGCAAATGGAGGCTAAGGATCAGCCATCTAAAGGCCGATGACGAGGCATGAGCTAGCATGACACTAGTCTGCGTTGAGCCAAGTAAGATGTCAGTGGATTCAGACAAGCATGTTCACTGCATGGTCCCTTGTGACCCTGGTGAAAAAATAATATACCAGCACCCTCCCACTACTGCCCATGGGGCAGTAGATAGAGATTTCCCAAAAACGACCGTAGTTAGAAAAACTACTGTCAATTATTTTATTTGCAAGATGCCCATCGTCTAACTACTGCTAGCTACTGCGCGGTGAGATGCCATAGCAGGGGTGGTAGCAATCAAGGGGTGGCAGCAAGTGCAGCAAGCTCCTCACAACGTGTGACCCCGTGTCACCCCGTGTCACCTGCGTGTCACCCCGTGTCACCGTGTCACCCCGTGGGCTTGTCTTTTACTGTTTGGGACAGCGTGAAACGACCGTAGATAGGGGGATCTACAGTCTTGTATTTTATTTTCGGAAGTGCTGCCAAATACCCGGTAGTTTCGAAAATAAAATTTGACGGTAGTCGGAGGGTGCTGGTATATATATATATATTGTTACATGGTAACCCCCCCCCAGGGACCTACCTTTTTGAAGACCTCGCTGGTATGTGCAGTGTTTCTACCCTTTTTTGGGCTTTGTTCGGGAAGCTGCTCGATTTAAACCGATGTAAATTTAAATCGGGCCTGGGTGTAGGATTCAAGATTCAAGAATCCAGGCGATTTTCCAAAAATCTTGAATCCAGGCCTCGGCTTTACCCGATTGAAGCCGATTTAAACTTAAAGCGGGCACGGATCCAAGGTTCAAGATTCAAGAATCCAGGGCAAACTTTTCCAGGGAATCTTGAATCCAGACCTCGATTTAAAAACGAATTAAACTGATTTAATCGGGCCTGGATTCAAGATTCAAGATTCCATGGAAAAGTTTGACCTGGATTCTTGAATCTTGAACCTTGAATCCGTGCCCGCTTTAAGTTTAAATCGGCTTCAATCGGGTCAAATCAAGGCCTGGATTCAAATTGATTGAAAATCGCCTGGATTCCTGAATCTTGAATCCAGGCCCGAATTAAATTTAAATCGGTGCTTTGGCTCAGTGTTGTGCAAGCATCCAAGTCATGATTATTCATTCAATCTCGTTCAATCTGCTTCAATTTAGGACCATATGCAGATTGCAGGCCAAACTATTCTACTGGCTCGACTAAATTTTTGGTCGGCTTCAATCGGTTTCACTCGGCCTGCACTTGGGTTTGCAGCGAAGACTTGTCTATAGAACAGACCCAACCTTGAATCTTAAGTACTGGCTTGGAATCTGTCCTTATCCAATTCTGTTAAGGCCCTAATGAATTGTAAGAATACACTGGGAACTGCTACTTAAATTCTACATTTATATCCTGTTAAAAACTAAATGAGCATTTAGAGAGCGGTCGTTGCTGGAGATGTGAATTGAGTATGAAAACGATACATAACACTGTGTCTTACGGTGTCTCGCGATCTGCACAAGGATATAGTTCCTGAACTGAAACTCCGGCGGCACTGCTATGGCCCTGCAGCGCTTTGACGCAAGTGGCGCCGCGAATATCCGCCACCACAAACCTCACCTTGCCAGGTGATCCGCCGGATCTGCCGCCTCCAGGATCTGCGCCACCGTGCAGTTGTAGGTTGAGGCGACTTCTTCCAGGGCTGCCGAAGTCGCACCCGAGCCTACTTCCGAACCCTTTTCCAACATCAACTTGGGTGGGATGATTGTGATCTGAAACGCCTTGCTCTCCAGTCCCTGGTTTGGACTGGAGTTCGCCCCCAAGACCCCTTTTCGAGAAACCCAAAGCCTCCAAAGCTTCTCCAAATTTCTAACCTACTTGAACTCCTGCCTTCTTAGCAGGTACACGGATCTCCTCATTATACTCAACATCAGTGAGAATCCTTTGATCGCGGTACGAACTGACCATTGTTTGCAATACCTCAGGTTTGTTCCGGGGGCAAACGCCTACCGTGTAGCAGAAGTCATTGGGTCCGTTGGTGGGTCCAAATCAAACACAAAGGCAAGAACTTCCCACTTCTGGATACAATGGCGAGCACTTCCATGGCTCTCCTAGCGTTCGCAACTTGGTTGAACCCTGTCACCGCGTCGACAAAGAAACACCAAGCTGAACCAGCAGCGCAAGCCAACACGCCACTTGCTTGCCTGCAGTAGTCTCCTTTTCCGCTGCTTCTTTTGCTCAGGGGCTTCCTTGGTCGGAAACGGCGCGGAACCCCAAACGCTTCTTGGATGAGAGGAGGCCACGCCTGTTGGGGAGGTGTAAGGCTCTTACTGTGAGTGAGAAGGACCTTCATCTTAGTTCGATCCCGACTCATCTGGAGCACCGTACCTCCAACCGCGATCCCGGACGTGTCGGCGATTTGTTCCAACGGACACGCGGTTGCCTCATCAAAGATCGAGAGCTCAAGCTGCTCTGTCATCATCCGCTTGATGGCCTTCACAGCTGATCCTAAACCGCCTTCACCGTACTCCACGGGCAAATGCGCTCTCAACCAATTTCCGCATCCAAGAAACTGTTGAATGTGCAGTTGTTCACGTAAAAGCCGGGAAATCCCTCTCTGACCATGGTAATGCTAGGACTAGTGAAAAGACACAAGTTTGGGACCTCTGAATTCTTTCTTGTTGAATTCTACTTATTATGTGTATCTAATTCGACAAAAAATATTATGGGAAAAATAGAGTTAAAGAAAGAAATACTCCAGTCACAGTCCGAATTTCGATTGTTCTATGTCAAGTTAAATTGTACACAACCAGACCCTCCGACTAATGCCCATGGGGCAGTAGATAGAGATTTCCCAAAAACGACCGTAGTTAGAAAAACTACTGTCTACTGCTAGCTACTGCGCGGGGGGATGCCATAGCAGGGGTGGTAGCAATCAAGGGGTGGCAGCAAGTGCAGCAAGCGCCTCACAGCGTGTGACCCCGTGTCACCCCGTGTCACCTGCGTGTCACCCCGTGCCGCCCCCGTGTCAGCTGCGTGTCACCCCGTGTCGCCCCCGTGTCGCCCCCGTGTCAGTATGCTAGAACAACAGTAGATCGCTGCAAACAACAGTAGTTTTAGTGCGTGACTCCGTGTCGCGCTGTGTCACCTGCGTGTGACCCTGTGTCGCCCCCGTGTGGCCCCCGGTGTCACCTGCGTGTCACCCAGTGTCACCCCCGGGTCGCCTGCGTGTCACCCCGTGTCACCGTGTCACCCCGTGGGCTTGTCTTTTACTGTTTAGGACAACGTGAAACGACCGTAGATAGGGGGATCTACTGTCTTTTATTTTATTTTCGGAAGTACTGCCAAATACCCGGTAGTTCCGAAAATGAAAATTAGACGGTAGTCGGAGGGTTCTGGATGATTTCCTGTCCATTAGATCATTGTACTTGAAACTCAACCACTATGAGAACTAGAGTTAAGTGGCTAGTCCTAGTTTTAGGCCTAGTATGGTCCTAGCTTGTTGAAATAATTCGAATGAAAAAAGGACATTACAAAGGAAGTTCCTTATGAATTCTGCTAAATATGTGTATCAAGTTCTATGTAACTGTTAACTGAACAGTAGAACTTCAAATGAGGCACATCTAGTTATTTGTGCATGTTGAATTGGAATCTAAATATTGGCTACTCTGTTTCAATCCAAATGTTACACAGGAATGTCGTTCCAAAGAATGTAATGCTTGACACCCAAATACTGTAAGAAGTAGAGTTGAACAGTCTAGTCCTTTGGGCCTAGTTGAGAGATCCTTGGTTATAGTGTTAGGTTGCTCCTAGTTTACTGAAATAATTAGACAGTATAAAATACATTAAAGAGGAAGTTCTACTTGAAAATCAACATTTATAAGAATCAGAGGTGGATCGTCTAGTCCTAGTTTGGTGCTAGTCTTGGTTGAGAGATCCATGGTTCGAGTCTTATTTGGTTCTAGTCCTAGTTGAGAGATCTTTCCTTCCAGTCCTAGATGGGCAAATAATGCGCTGGACAGGCAACAAAAAGGTAGGTCCCTGGGGGGGGGGGATATACATATATATATATATTTATGTTTCAGCGCAAACAGGATTGCCACATGTGCTGTGGCAAGCGTGTCGGAACCCGGTTGGTTAAATTCATAACCCATGGGTCCCCAGCATTTCTGAAAGCCATGTTTGCCATGAGGTCTCGGCTGCTTTCTGATCCCCTGCTTAAACTTTTAGTGGTTTAATGAACAACATCCATTAGTTGGCAAACAGTTAAAGTCCTAACATCCAAGCAAATGCAACAAAGAGGTCGTAGCTGTAGCTTCCTTGTGAGGCCGCCCTTGGTCGTTTTTGGAGCTCGACGAATTGCCCCGCTTCGCCTGCGGCGGGACACCGAGAAGAGGCGCAGGCTGTTCAGGCCCTGGCGTCGGCATAGTGAGAAGTGGCTGTGGGTCAAAAGACAAAACGTACCCCTGGTGAACATCCCAATCCAACCACTAAAATAGGTTCTAACATGGGTGGTGAATTCATCTGCCCCAAAATGGGATCCCATTGGTTTTGACGCATAGCCAAGTGCATTCCAAAGTATTTGGGGAGCGTGGGACATCCTCTTGGATTGTGCTTCAAGGAGAAACCACAAAACAGCCGCCACTTTTGCTTTGGAAAGTCCCCCATGTCTGGAAACCATTTGGTCTGGTCCTGCCAACCTGGATCCTGCTTCGAAATGATCCTGTGAAGGCTGCCGGCGCCGGGCGACAACATATCTTGCCCTCCAAGAAAGGTGTCTAGTCTAGTATGTCCGAGTACGGAATGTGACGTTCCAGGTGCAACTAGGCTAGGGTTTTGAGTAGAGAGGTTGGAATAAGGGTACCCACTTTTTTTTCTGTAGGGGAGCCCTCCCCCTACTAAGGGCAAAAGGGCACTACTGGGGGACCTAGTAGGTCAGTCAGACTCTGATCAAAACAGCAGTCGGTGATTGTTTGTTTGTCTCCTTGTGCAGGCTTCTAAACTATGCGGATTTCGACTTGTGGATGGAATGGACACCCGAACCACTGAGCCAACTGCGAGTATCTAAAAAAACCTGTCTGGAACCGGATGGCTGGGAACCACCGAGTTATAAGTCAAAAACCAGCGTTTTACCTCGGAGTAAAATAGTCAAGGCATCCAGGCGAACTGGATCCAAAGTGAGCTCCTCTGAACTGCCCCTCTAAATCCTGCCCTTGCCCAACTCTTGGGACGGTAGCAAAGACCTGGCTTTTTGCAGACTAGACATGAACAGAGCCAAACAGAACAAAAAGCAAGCCAACAACAGTGAAGAACCCGACAGAAAGACCATTTGAGAATCCCTCCAAATGCGACCACGTTAAGGGACTCAGTACCTTGGGGCAGCCAAGCAAATGGAGCCAGAATGAACCCAACACGCCAGGGAAATGCAGGGAGCTCTGGTGGAGCTGGGTCCCTTCAAGTGAATATGCTGAGGGGTTCTCAACAATGCAACGTCTGGTGTGGCTCAAGAATAGGTACCCGATAAAGCGACGCCTGGCAAATGAGGCTCAAGGGCCACAGCCTGCGGCTGATTGCGACCCATACCCATAGGGTAGCTTCCCTCTAACCACCATTTAGAGCGCAACTAAGAGGATGTCAATGTAATCCTGACTAGGGTCAGGGGGAAAACATCGCGCCCATTTTTTGGTTGGTTGATGTTACCGCGCCCCCCATCCAAAAAAGAAACAAAGGAAGGGGTGTCTGGGTTCATTCATCAGTTGAGTCTCAATCAAAGCCTGGCATAAAAGAACCAGTCTACACAAAGCCATGTAATGTTGACCCCATATTAATCAACCGCGTTTATGAATAGGGGGTGTGTCCCTCCAAAAGTTGTCCGATTCTCCACATTTCACCCGGGACACCCCTCTATTCATAAACTGGGGCTGATTAACTAGGTCCTCCAGTAGAGAGGTTATTGAATAAGGGTGCCCTTTTTCTGTAGTCAATTTTGGTAGGGGAACCCTGCCCCAGAAAAGTTGGTCAAAGGGCACCTAGCTGGGTAATTGATGTGGGTTTGAGTCCTTGTTTCCATTTACCAGGGCAACCATATTTTTGACCAGCCATATGGTTGAACTTTTGGAAGAGACCAAGATGGTTGCTGCATAAAGGCATATGTGGGCGCGCCTTTCTTTAGGGACCTTTAAACAAAAATGTGCGTATTCCTGGCGGTGTCCCTTCAAAACCGCCGAAAAAAGTCGGAGTACGGCCCGGGATGAGACATATGAGACCGGAACTTGCAGATTGGGGCGCCGGGCCACGAGCATGGTGGTGCCCTCGTGGAGGATCACCCCCAGCCACAGCGGCATGCCCGTGACCAGCGTAAGGCTGCTCCTGAGCTAAAAGCCACCTTTCTCGAAAGCCCTTTCCAGTGTTCGCCCAGCAGGTGGTTTCCATGTCCACTGCATTTGAAGCCGCAACCGCTGGAAATCTGAAAAGCGGCCTTGCCAAAAATGCTTGTGCGGCAAGAGTCAGGTTTTTTCTCGGACAAGGACCACAATTCAGCCAGGTAAAGCCGAATATGATCGTTACAAACCTGACCCGTAAGACTGAGTGGGGCTAGTCGTGGAGCTCTGGTTTCCCGATATCTTTAGCTTCTAGGTTCTTGGATGTTCAAGCGTTGCAGCTAGGTTTCCTTCAACTGTGCGATTGATGGCCATGCCGGCTTGAGCTCAGCAAACCGACTGGTCAGTCATAAGTGCGGGTAGATCCCGAAGCAAAGATTTGATGACAAACACCTGGCTCGGAGGTTGCTTTCGCCTCATGTATCCTTGTTTGGGGTGTATCCTTCGGTATGCTGCAGTTGGGGGTCTGGTGCGACCTTTGACGCGGGCAGGCCATCTTCCAGGGTGCTTGTTGTTCTTGGAGTGGCACGAGATGGCTGAACAACCTTGAGGGTTTCGGAACCTGTCTTATCCAACTAACGTCATCCATGGCTGCGAACAACACGAATTCGGTTGGTTGGTTGCTGCTTCCATTTTGCCTGGAATCTCTTCCCAACTTGGAGTAGAGGGTGGCTAGGTCCTTCAGTATAGAGGTCAGCCAACTTTTTTCAGGACGTCTCTTTTGGTAGGAACCCTCCCAACCAACAAAGTTGGTGAGAAAGGGCAACTGGCTGGGGCACCTACCTGGATGACGCTGCGCACCTCAGACCTCTCCCGTGGCTTGCCGCCACACCGCCGAAAGCTGGGGCTTCCCGCGCGCCGAGGATCGAGGTCAAGGCCAAGCCTCGGCGCACGCAAAGGCGCGCGGAGGGCGCAATGGCCGAAACGTGGGCTGCGTTGAAATGGTGTGCTTTTTCCTCGCCTTCCATTTGCTTGTGCGCCCCCTGTAAAGAGTGAAGACATATGTGCAGCAGTGATAGATTCCCTTTAAGACCAGCAACAAAAAATAAAAAAATACACCAGCAGAGACCCCAAACAGTTGAGGACTGACGGGCAAGCACAGACAGGCCAACAGCTTGTGGCTTTCTGCGCTTTGAATCAAAATGATGCAGTCGTGAACCTGGCACGCGTTGCGTTGCTGCACGTGTGTTGCTGGCGTGCTTCGCGCTTCAGCCTTCAGCACCGCGCCAGAACTGAGGTTTGGCTAGCGTGTGCAATAGCGGGTGAGCGCGCGCACGTGAACGTAAGTGTGGCTGCGCAAGCACGCGGCCACATGGGCAGTTCAGACACACCCAGTTCAGACGCACATGTGTGTGTACACGTGGAACACACATATGTATACGACTGAAACAGTACACGCGGCACGCGCCGATGTACGCACATATACACTCATCTGCGGCACACGCGTAAATGTGTTGAGCTGGAACAAACATGTGCTTCTTGGAAAGCACACACACATGTCCACACCTGGAACACACATGTGTGTTCACGCTGAAAAAGGCGCGAGAAAAAACAATGAACAGCGTGTCCAATTCAGACACACATGTGTACACTTGGAACAACTGGAGCACAAACACGTGCATGTGTGTGCACGTCAGACACACATATGTATACCTCTGGAACCTTAAGCATTTTTCTTTCCGGGGGGGGGGGGGGGAGGCCGCGATCAGATGGAAAAAGGCGTGTGAAAATAATAAATATATATATATATATATGTATATGTGTCCAGGAACACCCTGTGTGCGATGAAGGACACATGTGTGTACACGTGGAACGCACATGTGCACACGTGAGCAAGCATACATGCTCACCTAAAGCGCAAATATGTCGTCAGATGCAAAAAGTGTTCACCTAGAACATACTAATGCGCACACGTGGCCACTCACATATATGTGCACCCGGAACACACACCCGTGTGCTCATCTGGTAACTCCATGTGTTTCCTGGAACGCAAACACGTGTCCGTTGGAACACACATGTGTGCACACGTGAACAGACATATGTGTGCACGTGAGAGACACAAATGCGCACACGTCAACACACACATGTGCACACTCGGAACACACACATGTGTACACATTCATGTGACACAGACACACACACGAGCGTCATCTGATAACAAACACGTGTTCTCCTGGAACACAAACACGTTTCTAATTGGAACACACATGTGCGTACACGTGCAACACACGTATGTGTACACGTGGAACAATGCACACGTGAACTCACACACACACATATATGTGCACCCGAAACACACACACACGTGTGTTCATCAGAAAACAAACACGTATTCACCTGACACACAAACACGTGTCCAAATGGAACACACATGTGTGTCCACGTGAACACACAAATGTGTACACGTGGAACACACATGTGTGCAAATGAACACACATACATGTGCACGCGGATCAGACACACACACACGCACGTTCATCTGAGAACAAACATGTGTTCTCCTGGAACACAAATACGTGTCCAGTTGAAACGCTTGTGCACACGTGAGCACACATATGCGTGCACGTGGAACACACATATGTGCACACGTGCGCACACATACATGTGCACGCGGAGCAGACATATGTGTACACGCGAACACAGACACACATATATGCGTACGCGGAACACGCACGCACACACACACACACTCGTGTTCATCTGATAGCAAACATGTGTTCCTGGAACACACACACACACACATGCGTACACCTGAATCACATATGCGTGTATGTCTGGAAAGCACACTTCTGTTATTAACCAGAACAAACTTCTGTGTTGACTTGTAGCACACATCTGTGTCCACATGGAACACACGTGTGTGCGCATGTGGAGAAACATGTGCAACACAAATGTGCAACACACATGCGTTCACCTGGACAAAAAACATGTGTTCGCCTGGAATTTACGTTTTCTGCACGCCTAGGCGACACATATCAAGTCCCCGAAACGCTCGCGATTGGTCGTTTCTACATTGTGTCCGGGGAGCCTCCGAAGTGTTTTTTATATGAAATTGTCAGACCAGGGAGGGGGCCGGTCGCGATATAAGGGGGGGCCGGTTGCGATATACTTTGACCGGCCCCCCTCGGATCCCGGGAGGGGGTCGGTCGTGATACGTATCGCGACCGGCCCGGGAGCCGGTCGAAATATGTCGCGACCGGCCCCCTCGGATCGTGACCCCCCCCCCCCAATGGCCGTTTCATCAAGGCCAGCCCCAATGGCCGCGTTGTCAAGGCCAATGGCCGTTTTGCCAAGGCCCCCGCCAGATCACGCGTGGCTCAAACTTTTGCTGTCGATGAACTATATCGCGTCCGACCCCTCCCATCCTTGTTTTCTTGTTTTGAAGCACGGCCGCCCCGGACCATGTCGAGCTTCGGGCGACCCTTCGTCTATTTGCTCTCCGCGAAACTTGAAACCGAAGCGTCTGCAAAACGTTAGCTCCCGAGGTCGAAGCCAATTCTTTTTCGAGATGTTTTGAAGCCCAGACGAGCTCAACCCAACTCCGCGCGCAACACGCGGGCCGCGAGCTGCGAACTGGCGGAAGACAAACGACTCAAGAGTGGGTGCGGGCTGCGACGCAACCATTGGGCTGCGCGCTGGCCTTGGTGAAGTGGCCATTGGGTTGGGCTGGCCTTGATACTGGGCCGCCCTTGATGCGACGGTGTTTGGGGCTGGCCTTGATAAAGTCGGCGGAGACGCTCAAGGCTTAAGGGGCTTGGCGCAAGGCTCGGAGGTGGCCTTGTCCACCTCGCCCACCCTCGTTTCTCGGGCTCTGGCCGAGGATGAGGCACTCGAGGCACGGGCACCGCCTCGCGCCGTGCTCGTGGCATCGCGAGGCGGTGCCCAGCTTCTCCAGGTCAATGTGGCGGGCGCACAGGCCCGCCCCACACTTCACCTTGCTTCGCAGCCAGCTGACTTGCTTCTGTCTCTCTCGCTCTCCTCTGTGCGTCTCTCTTTCTTCTCTCTCTTTCGCTCTCTCTCTCTCTTTCTCTCTCTCTCTTTCTCTGTCTGTCTGTTTATCTGTCTGTCTGTTTGTTTTTCTTGGGGCTTCTGTAGGTTTTTTCTCACTGGGCGCGCGCCGCAAGCTTCGTGCAGCTCGTCTGTGCAACCCCGGTGACAAACATCGCCGCCTTCCGGGCGCTCGCTTGGGCTCTCGCGCGTTTTGTTCAAACAAAAAGCCTCCAGCCGAGGGCAGGAGAGGGACGCCGGCGGCGTCGAGCAGCTCCCCCAAGCCGTGCTCACTGCCTCCCACGACTCGGACCTTTTTTCCTTTTTTTTTGCCCTCGCGTGCGGCCAAGCGCGTTGGGGTGTTGCCGAGGGCCCTCGGCTTCGCCCGCGCGGCCTGCGCGGGAGTGAGGGAGGGGTCTGTTGGGCGCTGTGCAAACGGCGCCTTCGGCTTGCCCGGGGCGCGCACGCGTGTAGGCGCGGCCGGCGGCTTGGGCAGGGCGTTGGGGCGCAGGTCCACCTGGCTCGCAAGAGATTCTCGGGGACGACTGCGCCGCCCCGCGTCTCCCGGGACCGCTGCGGGGTCCACGTTCTCCTTTCCACTCGAGCTCGAGCTCGAGCTTGAGGTTGTGGTCGGGGCGTCGTCTTCCTCGAGGAGCTTGGCCTGCCGCAGGCTCTTGCAACGCCCCTCTGGTGTTTTCCTTAGGGCCCGGCCACTTGCTCCTCGAACAGGAGCCGCGCTTTCTCTGCGCGCGCTCTTGCGGCGACCAAGCAGTGGCTCCCGCCTGCGCGTCGGGCCGCGCGTCTGGGCTTCGTTGCTCCGCCCGCGGGCCGCCGCAAGCAGCTCCGCAAAGACCGGGTCCTCCTCCGCGGTCTTGCGGCCCGGGCGGTCTTCCGGGCTGCCGCCTTTTTCTTGTTCTTTGCAACCTTGCGGGCCCGTTTCTAACGGCCTGCTTCGGCCGCTGCGGCCTCCTGCCTCCCGAAGCCGGCTGTGAGGCGCAATTGCATGGGACTCTGCCTCGAACAACGCTTGTGTTTTATATGCATGTTCCAAGTAAGTAGGAAAATAGTGATCGTGTGCGGTCAACCTAGCTTTTGTTCAGCACGTCGCTATCGCGCCAGCCTGCTGCTGCTGCTACTACTGCTTTAGTACTGTCAGTATCGGATGCGTCTCCAGCATTTGCAGGCTTCATTCAGCTTGGCAAAAGCTTTCCGGCGCATTGCGCTTCTTTCTCGCTTAGCTGCACAGTGTCTTTCGTATCGAGCAATCTGTTGCTCGATGGAACGCTCTAAAGTGCCTTTATCGTATTGCGGCAACTCTTTGTATCGATTCAGTAAAGCATTTGCTTTCGCAGGGAAATTGCGCAACCCAATTCTTCCGCATGCTCGGTACAAAGCGTCCCTGCCTTCTTGCCTCAGCCGTTTTTCTCCCGTTTGTCCAGCGAACCGTGTTCCATGGTAAATTGCATGCGAGGAGAGCGGAAGCAAATTTGGATTGAGGCGTAACTGGGAACCGGTCACAGCTGACCGCCCGCCTTGCTAGCGCGCGGCTAGCGCGGGTTCGCCGTATTTTTTGGAGTGATGGCGACCATCTGTGTGGATTTGACAAATTAAGGCCACGTAAGATGAAGGTAAACGAGTAAGAACTGCAACATTGCACCCGTGAAAGCCACACAAAGCCCATCGCGGCAACCCGCGCGAACCAAGATCACCGGAGACCCTAGCGCGAACCAAGCGCCATCCTAGCGCTTCCAGTGGGGAGCGAGCAATCCATTGGTATTTGCAGGACTCCGCTTTGTATGCATGAGAAATGCACAAAGTGACTGCGACGGTGGCCTCTGTAGACTGGAATCCAGCGTTCACCTGGAGCACAAAAACGTGCTCACGTGGAACACACTCATGTGGTCACATGCAAAAAGTGCGTGTTCACTCGGAGCGCGCCGATGTGGTCAGCTGGACACCAAGAACAAACAATCATTCACTTGAAGCACTCATGCGTGCATCCGCAGCATGCTGCCTGTGGCTTTGTGCGCGCTCAAACACGCGCTTGCGTGTCCGGAATACACTGCAAATGGGCCCGTCCACCCAGGGAGCCGTGCCAGTCATCCAGGCTGGGAGACAACCGGGCCGCAGGCTGGGAGACGCAAAAGGCAGACAAATGAAGGGAAACAAAAGGGAGAAATGAACCCCTCCACCAAGAGAGCCGTGCCAGGTATCCAGGCTAGGGCTTGGCAATAGGCGAGTCACTTTTAATTAATTTAGAACCCCTCGCAGTAAACTGTTGGGGAACAATCTTAAGCAAATGGATGTCACAGATGCAGAAAAAACACACACACACACACATTTATGATATTTAGGATTATATATGAGTAGGATCGGAAGCTCTTTTGGGGAATGAAACCCGAAGAGCCATGTTGGAAATGTTTACCGCCTTCTTGGGTTCCATGTTTGCCTGAGAGATTGAGAGTAGCAGAGTATATTTGCGAACTCTTTCTTCCTCGCCTATTTTTGACCTCGCGTGACCAGATCCGACCTCCGACTGATATTAACAAGGCAGTTCATCGCCAAGACACGCCTACCTACACCTCCGGCCCCCCCCCCCAACATCCACCTCAACCCCCTTTGCAAAAGAAGTGTTGGTGATCTTGGTCCCGCAGAGGTTCTGTGGTCGTGCGTCACCCTTGAGAAGCTCGTTTTGGAGGCTGCAAGAATACCGAGTGATGAACCTCGCGGATTGGCAGTACAAGAGATTGATCAGTGAGAGGAATGCAGGACCTTGGTTTTCTCAACCAGCGCAAAGTCCACCGAAATTACTCCCCAAAAGGCACAATGCCCGGTGCAGCCTTTGCAGCAGGTCCAATACCAAACAGCCCAAGCACAAGGCAGGTGATTTCCCTCCTCCCGTATCCCCAGGCTCCCTCGCAAAGGTTCTGGATCACAATGCTGCGGGCCTTCTTGGCGAGGGTCAAGAGCCATGCGACCTGATGCAAGACTAGGTCCTCCAGTACAAAGGCCTGCGAAACGTTTCAGACATGCGGTAGCCCTAACCCCCCCCCAACCCCAATATGAAGCATTTTTTTTTCTGAATTATAACGACCGCACACGAAGCTCACCCCAAATGTTGCGGTTTTTGTGGGGAATATTCCCTCAGCCACTTTGTTTCAGGCTGGTGAAATATATCACAGTTCACCCAGGTCGCTCGGACTTGTGACAGCTACCGCAGGGGTCGAGGACGGCGCTTGGCCCGTGGCGGGGGCTTAGTGACCCCTAAGAAGTTCCTCTGTTGTGTTCGAGTACCTCACTCTCCCCACAAAAAGTGGAACTGTTTGCAGAAGGGTCAATAGCAGCCAAATGGAAAAATGGACATACGGTGGCCGAACTCCGTTCGCACCACTTTGAAACTATGGTTGAAACCAGTGTTTGTTGAAGTTTACAGGGAATTCAAACCATTTCAGGGTTCCTGAACGGTGGAGGATTTCGTCCATCCACAGAACGGTACATGAGTGTTTCTCAAAATGGGCTTGCCCGACAAAAGGGGAACGCCCCACAAAAAGTCTTTCGTGTCCCGATGGAAACAAGCCCTGAAGGGGTTCCCTTAGAAAATGAACCCCAAATTGGGGCACTAGGAGACGGTGAGGCACCCAACTGGATCAACCACAAGTATGGCGGACTGGACATTGTGCGGTTTGCACTGTTCGGGCAGACACACAGACACAGACACAGACACAGACACACGCACAGACACACAGACACATGGACACACACACACAGACACACAGACACGCAGACACATAGACACAGACACAGACACAGCCAGGCAGACAGACAGACAGAGAACAGCCACAGACAGCCAGACAGAGCGAGAGAGGGAGAGAGAGGGGTAACGAGCGAGAGAGAGAGAGAGAGAGAGAGAGAGAGAGAGAGAGAGAGAGAGAGAGAGAGAGAGGGAGAGAGAGGGAGAGAGTCGCAGAGAAAAAGAGACAGGCAGACAGAGAGGTCAGTTCGTTGCTGCGTGGGGCAAACAAAGCCAGCTCTTCTAGGTCCCCCAGTAGTGCCCTTTCTAACCCCTTTTTTTGGCCAGGGTTCCCCTACTAAAATAGACAAACCAGAAAAAGTTGGTACCAACTTATTCCATCCTCTCTACTGGAGGACCTAGTATTAAACTACTGGACGAAAAAGCAAAAAATAACACGCCGATCGGATGGAGGAAGCCCGATTTGCATACTTGACAAACCACCTGCCAGCAGGTGCCTAGGCAATTGGCCCGAAGCCCTCGACGCCAAGCCGCTCGCTCCAGCTCGCTGTCGCCCCTGGGGTCCCCGGAGCGTCTCAGCACCAGGACCTTCAGCCACGCGGAGCCGCCGGTGTTTCGCGCGCGCGCGCGCGCAAAAAGCGCAAGGGAGGCAACATGAAACCGGGGGAAAACGGAGGCTAACAAAATGGCTCCTTTATGGGCGCAAGACTAAAACCTGCGGTTCAGCTGTTCCATTTTGAGCCACAGGCACCTGGGGAAACATGAAGAAAAGAAACAGAGCGGGTCATGAAGTGAGCAAACTGAAGCCAGAGCCATCGATCTGCCGAACTGACACAGGATGCGCTGGGACCCGAGAAAGTGATCCAAAGCTCACGAGGATCCGGGTCTTCCAAGCTCAGGAGGAAGCTCCGTGACTCGAGCTCTTTTCCGGAGAAACATGGCTCTATGTCGTTCGTTTGATGTGGGCCTACCAACATGTTCGGCTTCCTTTTGGCTTTCCTTTGAAGCCATGGGCATACCCACATGGCTGTGGGTCAAAATTCTGTGCCCCTGGTGAACATCCCAATCCCCACTAAAATAGACCAAAATGGGTGGTGCACCTACTCCCAAATGGTACCATTGGTTTTGACCCAGCCACATCTCCTCAACAGAGCCGCGTGGGTCATCAGACTTTGCCCCTTGCCTGGCTACGCGCAAGAGCTGCTCAGGGCTCCGAGTCGCAAGAACTGATCAAAACGCAAGCATGATCCCCGCGTATACGCCAGGCCACAATCTTTCGACTTGGCGTGTGCCAATGTCACTCCTTTCTGGGCTGACCTCAGATCCCTGCTAAGTTGAACTTTTAGTAGGATAAATGGAAACTACCACCAATCCCGAAAAACCTAAAAAAGCTAAGGGGATGGCTGGGAGATGCTTTGCATCCACTCAAGGCAGCGCGCGGAAACTCGTCTAAACTGCACCGTGCAAACTCATGAGATCGCACTCGACGCAGGTCAGCTATGATCAAGATTCGTGTCTCTTGACAGTCTATCTTGGCGATGCCCGAGGTTCTCGTGGTATTTTGGTGACCGTATCCAACGAGATCTCTAATTATCACCGTAGTATTCCACAATACTGTGGATGGGCGAAATCCTCCACCATCTCAGAAACCCCGCAATGGTTCGATTCCCCAGAGTACATACCCACAAACCCCCCCTTGCTCTTCTTATTCCACCATGGCTTCCTTTCGTGGTGCGGTTTCCCTTTTTTCTCGCCGCCATCCACAGTGCCACCAATACTCGCCACCAGCAGAAACCCAAGGGAGCCCACCCACGGATACGCATAAACATCTTGTCAGCTAGGAACGGTACATTATGGCGTCGATCTCAAAATGTTCTCGGGGTCTCCAACGATACATTCTGGCGTCGATTTCAATCCAACGGGGGTTGAACAAACATCGAATATATAGACCGTTGTTGACTTCCTTTTCTCGGTTGCTTTCTGCTCCCCTGCTAAAAGTTCAACTTTTAGTGGGTTTAATACGGAAAACCCATGAGTTGGCAAAAAGTTAAAGTCCTAACATCCCTTGGCAACATGCACCAAAGTCTTGGTGTCCATTTAAAGCCAAGCAAAACCACACGAGCACCCGCCCATTTCGACCATTTCGACCGCTCGGTGGATCGACGGATCTGCGGCTCCCACGTCTCCGCCATCCACTGCGTTGCTATGCAAAGCGCCGTCTGCCTGGGCCTGGCCGAATGAGTCGAGTGGACCGCGGTGGGTTTATACTAACTGCCCTCAGATCCCCCGCTAAAAGTTTAACTTCAGCTGAAAGTGACTAACTTTTAGTGGCTATGAACTTTAATAGGGAACCACCTCAAAACTGGGCTGCCCCTTTTCTGATCCCCCGCTAAAAGCTTTTAACTTCAGTGGGTTAAGATAGAAACTACCACTAAACACGAGGTGAGGAACCGGATGGCTGGGAGCCACCAAGTTCACCAACCAGCTTTCGAGTTATATAATAACACCCCAACACTGGTTTTAAACAAGAATAGAAGGAACCAATGCTTTGGTGTTGCTTCATGTTGCGTTTTGTTGCTGGCGTTGCTTCATATGCCGTTTTGTTCCAAGGGGTCCCCCACCCCAGAAGCTAAAGGGGAAAGCGCTGGCGTTGCTTCACGTTTCATTTCGCCGGAACTGGCTGCTAGTCTAGGCCAGTGCAGAGAGACGGTCTCGGGCAATATAGAACAGGGAAAGAACAAAAAGACACGTGTCTACCACCTGAGAGGTGAGGGGAAAGCGTGGCCCTAATATTCATTGGGACCTGGTTGAGTCGTCGACGGCATCTAAACGTCCATGCAAAGCCTTTACTGCAACGCAGCTCTGTCTCATGATGGTCCTGCTGTGCAATGGATATGATCCCACGGAAAAGTTTCACTGTGCTGCCAACTTGGGGATCCAGCAAAGCATGGATATTTTTCCAGTGATGGTGGTCTGGTAGGGGCGTTCATGTCATCCGCTTTTCTCGACCTAAAGTGACGAGGGTAGCTTGGGGCACCTCAGAAACCATCTTGGAATACTAGCACGCCTCTGGACACATTCGCACATTGGCAGCGCCAAACACCGATCACTTGTTTGTCCCAATTCATGCGTGGCAAGAAATGCATTGGGTTTGCCGTGGAAAAGGTGATTTAATTAGTCAAACACGTGGCGCAACATGTTTTTGGGTCTCCCTTAAAATGGATGGTTTCCTCTCTGAAAAAAGGATACCCTCCAAAAACCGTCAAACAGTTGGCTTAACATGGTTGCGAAAGAAAAGGAACAACACACACACACATTTCGTACTTGGTTGCAGCTTCCCCTGGTGCTTACTCTTGTGATGAAAGAGTCACAACCAAGTAAAACATATGGCCAAAAATGCTTTGATCCTCGCATCCCGCAACAAAGCCAGCACAACAAACAAGTAGAAGGTACATGATGCCCCGACTTGCTGCAAACAGCTCAGGAGGATGGCATTCCGGGTCGCGCTCCAAAGAAATGTGCTCATAGACTCACGGGTTGCGCTGTTAAACTGACTTGTTTGCCTGATGGCCTTGAAGTCTCCAAAACGGCCTTCACGACGCTTATTGTTCTGACATGCGCAAGGCTGAGAGCAAAACATATTGGAGTTGATACCGTGCTGCAAAACTGCTGCAAGCTACGGCTGTCCAATGCCGCAAACGGCTCTGACTCACGGTCAGTTGGGATCACGGCGCCTACTGAAATGGCGGGATTGATGAGGTCTGCCAACCCCCTGGCAAGCCATGGCAACTAAGACAAACACATATGTATACATCTAGATATATACATACAAACACACACACACACAAAGCGATTGGGCACCGCTCCCGCGCACCTCAAGGGAAATGCCAGCAGTGGCTGCCGCCAGTGATGGGGCCTGTAGCGCTCGACTGAATGATGCAAACTCGCCTCGCAACATTCACAGTATGCGCAGCAAATATTTGTTCACGTGTCAATGCTCTTGTATATGTAGTCTAAACAAGTCGCTTCCACATACTCATTTTGGCAAAATCCAGGGTGTGTTTAGGACTCTCTGTCTGCTAGTGATGGTCGCTGAGTAAAATAATGTTGTTTCTCACGCAGCAGCTATGACCAATAGAACGAAGCGGTGCTTACCTTCCAGAACCACCCTGGCCCAAAACAGATGCAAGTACATACATACTACCTGTATGTCTACAACAGGCCTCCAAACGTCAGTACTGGACACTCCCAACAATACATTGAGGGGGCTGCTGCTTGCCTGAGCAAACAGAAGTGCAAACATTCTTTGGCTCCAGCCCCCCAACGAGCACAACGGTATCAGTCCACGCGGCGTCATTGATGCCATCGCCGACCATGACCAGGCCCCCTAGGGAGACGCCCAGCGATCTGAGCAAGCGTCGGGACCACCTGAGCAAGCGCTTGTAGATGACCTCAAAACATAATATCAGCAACTCTAAACATACGACAACAAAAAAAAAAACATGAGAAAAAGCAACGGCCAGAAACAAGAAGCACAGCTTGCGTTGTTGCATGGTTTATCATGGTGTGATGCACGGCGATACGATGACGATCGATGACTCTTGAGCCCTGCAACTCTCAATGATATGGAGACTGTTCCATGAACCGCTTCTTCACAGTATGTGCAATCTGTCCGCATCAAACGCAACTCCCTCAACGGACATCAAGAAAAGCCAAGGCAAATCCAGGCCAGTTCGAACATCCGAAGCAAACTGCTGAAGCAGTTTGGATGCCCCATTACTCACTTCCTGAGTGGGTTGGCCCAAAAAAGGAGCCAACTTAAAACGAAGATGGTTCCTCAAAAGGTGACTAGGGTCCGACCCGGGAGTGAGCCTAACTGGTTGCCATATTTCTGGGCTCGGGACACTCAAGAGAGGCATCTTCATGCGGTCGTAACCCCCCGGTAGGTACGGGTGCTGCCCTAAGGCCTAAGCCCATCTAGGTCGGTCCAAAAAAAGTGGTGCCCCCCCACACAACAAGACACAGCCATCTGTACTCAGACTGCCCTAAACGGCACACACTCCCTTCACTTCCTGACCCCAAATGGGTTTGTCTCAGACTGGCCCCGTGGCATAGTCTTTGAGGGAACCCAAGCGATCATCCAGTCCGTTGAGGCAAACCCAACTTGACTTTCAGCCCCTGGCCGCATACTTTTCAGTGTCGTTTTCTGGGGGACGGCCCAGGTGAAAGGGAAACAACCAGCCAGTTTCTGACTTTGATCTTTGACAGTTTCCAGAGACAGTCAAACGCATGACCCCAGAATTCGGTGGGGGGCCGTTTCTTTCTGTTGGACATTTAACTACTGCCCCCCCCCCAGACCAATGCAAAGAAAAAAGAGTCATTTGAGCAACCGATGTCGAGACGCGAGGTCTGGCTCGCTCTCTCGCGCAGCAGGGTGTCGAACTCCTGCACCTGGCAAGGTAACAAATCCTGGAGGCGATGGCCCATGCAGAACTGCTATGCTCGGTTGCGAAATCTGCTCCCCTGCAAGACGTGAATAACTTTTAGTGGGTTTAATGGGACACCCACGAGTTGGCAAGAAGTTGAAGCCCGAACCTCCCTTGGCAAAATGCGCCAAGGTACAACCTCTCAGAGGCTCCCGCTGTATTAAGAGAAACACTCCGAGGCTCCCGATGTCTAACTCTCAGAGCCCAGACCGCCAAGAAAACTCGCCCCGTCCGGCCCCAAGAAGCGGGGCGTCCGATCGCTTCGGGTTCCTCAAGAGTTGGAAGCCGAGAGCGGGCAGCGGAACAGGGAAGACGAAGAAACGGCTGTGGTCGAAACCGTGGTGGTTGATCCCATGGTTGGGATGGGTGGAATTCACCACTCATTTTTTGGGACCTCATTGTTTTAGTGGTTGGATTGGATTGGGATGTTCACTGGGGGTAAGGGATTTTGACCCATGGCCATGTCGCAATGCAAAACAAGAGGAATGTTGAGGAATCAAAGCAAGACAAGCGCGATGCAAAAGATAGGCGCAGAGGAAAAACAAACATTCAAAGAGGAATCGGAATGAAAGGGGCAACAAGGCACAGGATAGCTGGCCGTGTGGAAGGAACAATCGGAGAAAGGATGCAGAAGGCAGGCAGGGATGGATTTGTGGAGGGACAAAGAAAGCAAACAAATGAAGGGTGGCAGGAAGGGCACAATTCAAGTGGCAGGCCAGTGGGAAGCAAGCAATCTATCCAGCCAAAAAGAAAGCTTGTTTAAGGCTTCCGATAAGGGCGAAGAAACTCACTTGCCTGCAGGACGGCTACCCTCTCCCACCGACATAGCAACTGTGGAAGGGTACCTGGAAGACAAATTTCTTGGCGATACCCCGTGTCAGGTGCCATGTTGGTGGCTTGGAGGGAGTTCCTGGACGAAACGTGGCCGACGGGTGAAACCAATGTCCATCACAACTCGATGTGAATTGCAAGAAGCTCGCCTGAACATTTTGGTCGCACACCAACTCGCGCGAGGCCGCCATGGAATTACCCGGAACTCATTTGGATTCGTTGGTGTTCCCCAGTTTCCCTCAAACAGAAAAGCGGCGCATAATTTTGCCTCCTTTCACATATGGGTATATGTCAAAACAGGGCGGACCCCAAAAACATGGTGAGGTTTCTTCCTTGGTGTGCCTCAGCCTGACCAGCTACCATCAAAACCACGCCTCCCATTGGGAGAGGGCAAGTAAGGGCGCGCCTTCGCCAGCTTGTCCTCTGGTCGCAGGTCCGCATGCACCGAGTCGAAGTGAGAAGCCCCTGGCAGGGAAGCGGGACTGTCAGTCGTGAGAGTGTCCCAAGGAGAACGGGCCTCTTTAGAAAACTCAATTTCCAGCCCTTCTCCCACAAAAACGGGACCTCTCCAGAAACAAACCACTCCGCCCCTTCGCTTCTCTGCCTCACTTGGTTTGCCCAAAACGAATCTCTGCCCAAAGCGTTCAGAGTTGGCTCTGGGAGCTGTCGGGTTCCAAAGGTTTAAGCTCATCAGGACAACCGGTCGATTTGTCTTCTTTTTTGGGGGGGCCTCTAAAAAAAAAGGACACACCCACATCTTGGTTGATTTCGTGCCAAGCAGGTTTTTGTTTTGATGAGACTCATCTTCTCCTCAAACGTCTTGCGTGTCATGACATACAAAACCATAGGGTGCTTTCCAGCAAAACCGCCGGGCTCGAGTGAGCCACGGCTCGACTGAGCCCAAGGCCAAGCATGTCAGTGACGTGCATCGCGTTTGCTTTGCGGTCGCCAGTCAGCATGTAAACCTCGGCAAAGGAGTTTTGGTTGACGTTGAAAGGGAGCAAACATTTGAAGTTTAGCAGTTTTATTCGGATTTCCCACTAAACCACAATAAGGAAAGATGTAAAATGTTTCCCAACAAGAACCATGGAATCCAGACCGACCCCGAGGTCTTTCCTGTTGGTATTCCTTCCAATATGAATCAATAGGGGGTCCGCCATTTTCACAAACTCCCACACGTGACAGGGCAATATTCAATGCATGTGTACTGGGCGGATCTGAAAAAAAGGGCTCTGGCTACATGAAGATCGCAAGCATGCATCTCAAATGTATTGCGATCCCGACAAGAATGCAAAGCACAGCATGTGATCAAGGATAAAGGGCATGCAACTTAATGTTGACCCAGGATTAATAACTCTGTCCCAATTAGGCGGGTGTTTCCTCCAAAAGTGATGAGTCCCCACTAAAAGGGGACACCCCCCTATTAATCAACCAGGGTTTATTAATCCGGGGTTAACATTAAAAGCAAAGGGGGAACACGATGATACTGGCGGGTAGCCAATCCTTGTCAAACCTGGAGCAGGTGGACCACTGCAGCAACGAGATTCATGCTCGGCCATTAGCTTCGCACCACGCACACCTGAAAACGTCAGAACATGTCCGATGCAAGGAAGATCTAAACATGCCTCTGATTCAAATGAACAAGCCACACACTCAGCGAATAATACGGCGCAATCGCACAACTCCCAATCCTTCTGTGGTTTCACGAAATCCGTTCGCACCACTTTGAAACCATGGTTGACACCATTGTTTGGTATTTACAAGGGGAATCGAATCTTTTCCAGGGTTTCTCAGGTGGTGCAGGATTTCGTCCATACACAGTGTGAGTACCTCACAATTCCGATGAACAAAAGCACAAAGACATGACGCACAGTTTCAAAAGGTAACGCACCATCCCGCAAGAAATCTGAAAATCCGAAGCCCGGCGCAGGTCTACGTCGTAGTATGAGGGGCTAAGACATGACCAATGATCTACTCCTCTGGGTGCTAAATAGGGGGTCTGACAAAACGAGGACAAATACCCATCCCCTTTTGCATTTTGCTCGATAGTCGCAGGCCTTTTAGCACTCAACTAAGTGACCAAATTTGGTTCTACAATGATATCGACCTGGGCCGCCCAGCAGAACCTCGGCGCGCCACCTGGTCAGGCCATTGGAGTCAGGGGATACGACCGTTGTGCCGTTTGGGATGACTTGTGGGATGGTTCCAATTATTTGCTTTCCCTTTCCTAATCCGCAATCCGCAGAGGTGCACCACAACAACTACTATCTGGCATAAGGGTTAAACATCTTGAAGAACCGGACAGATCTTTGGCCTGCCCCGCAGACTCAAGAGCTCCTCTACAATGATTTTCCGCCCCTGTTTTGTTTTGTGTTTAAACACACAACAAACATCAATGGTCATAGATTCCCTTTAAAACCAAACAGGGAAGAATCGAAGATAGTCTTAAGCAAACGGAAGACAAGTCATGTTTTAGACATCCGCACCTTGGGTCCATTTGGACCTCCCGTGCCCAGGTCCACGTGTTTCTTTGCGAGGAGATTTTGATGCAATGACTAAAGACAATATCTCTACTCTTGGTATGGTAGCTAAAAACTTTGTTTTTTGCAGACCCCCAGTAAACATGGACAGAACCAAAAAACTAAAACACCAAAAAACATGCCAAGAACAGTGAAGACAACTAGGGGCCACTTGATCTGTGACACCTGCCTTAGGCATTTGGGGAGGCAGGCTGCTCATTGCTCAGAAATGGACAAAGGTGAACCCCCGGCTGTCATAAGCCCTGTTAGGGTCTGTCTGTCTTTGGGTTTAGCAAAGGACGACGCATGCTTTTAAAGGTACACCGCAAACACCCGTTAGCTGCTTGCTTTTCTTTCTGGTTGAAGTGCATTTCGCCCCGCGTCGGCTGATGGAAACATGTCTTTTGGATGGGACGAGCTGGCTTGCTGCCTTCAAAGGGCCCCGTGAGCTCGTGGTTTGCTTCGACTTTACCCAGGCCTCGCACCACCCGGGTCCGCGTCCAAAATCCGTGTCCAAAAAGCAGCGGTTGAGACCCGGCTGACCCCTGAAAAACTGTTTGGCTTTGGCCCCTGGCAGTGGATGAGTTGCACTCGAAAGCTTGGTTGACGTTGGGTTTGGGGAGCAACAACTTAAAGCTTAGCAGTTCAGTGGATTTGGACTTCAACCACTAAACCACGAGAAGCACAAATGGGAAAAATGTTTCCCAACAACCATGAAAAGGCCCTAGCTTTCACCAGTCAGTCGTCCAAGGGGCCTCTGCCACGACACTCGGCGCGGACTCCTTCATGCAGTCCTGTTGCGCGGGGCTGGATTGGGTGTGTTTCGTTTTTGACTGGCTCCATTAAAGTGACACCCGCAATACTCCTTTGCAAGTTGTGGTCAGAAAGGCATCCCATCAAGCAAACAAGCCAACTGATTCTAGAATCGCATTGCGGGGAATATCAACCCCCCCCTGATTTTGGGGGGTTACTACCGTGTTATCGCAGCACGCGCGGCTTTTTTACCCCTCCTGTCCGAACCTTGTTCAAAGCGCTTGCCGGCGTTCGTTGCTGCCAACCAGCATTTACTTGGGTTGGCTCGAAAGGGAACCCCTTTTGTTGTTTTGAAGGGAAACCAAAAGGACAATAACCTCTCTTTTTTGGGGGGTTCCCCCGAAAAGCAAACACACCCGTATAGAATTTCAAGGACAAAGCTTCCTTTTTGTCAACCTGTGGAAACCAGCTCTACACGGGTGCTGCCCAAAATCAGGAACTGCCTGTTCAATCGGCTTCAACAAAAACTGAACCAACAGCAAGCCCACCATAGAAAAGTGTATGTGTTGCCTTGAACCACCCACACCAGAAACTCATACAGAGAATCCGACATGTAGCTCTCGTCTTCGAGAGATTGGCAAGGATTTGAAACCAACAACATTATTAGAACGGGTTCTTGATTTCAACACGCGGCTTCAACAGGGGCGTGGTCGGCAGCATAGCCATGTGTGGTACCTCTGAACTCGACCCAGCTCATTCGAGTCCGAACACGTCACTTTGATACCCCTCTGTATGGTGCATATTATGTCGCCCACAGAATCCGCTGCATGATCGACTAGGTCCTTCAGCAGAGAGGTTAGAATAAGGGTATGCTTTTTTCTGTAGACTATTTTAGTAGGGGAGCCCTCCCCCAAAAAAGGGGTGAGAAAGGGCACTTAGCTGGGGGACCTGGTCGAATCCGTGCTTAGGACCATTGGGCACTGCAGGAAGTCATCACATGCACACATTTACACATACCAGGGACTAAAGGCTATCCGCATGTTGTCACATCTGATGATGATGATGATGATGATGATGATGATGATGATGATGATGATGATGATGATGATGATGATGGTGATGGTGATGGTGATGGTGATGATGACGATGACGATGACGATGACGATGACGATGACGATGACGATGATGATGATGATGATGATGATGATGATGATGATGATGATGATGATGATGATGATGATGATTCTGATGATGATGATGATGATGATGATGATGATGATGATGATGATAGCAACGATGTGGGGTAGTGTATATGCAAAATACGCATGCAATGGGATATTACCAACAGCTCAAATGAATCCATATATATATATATATTATTGGGGAATATAATCAATAATACAACATTGGTCTCCCCCTCTTTTCGGGAAAGCAGGGCTGCTTTTCGGAAAAGCAGGGCTGTCTTGCAGTTTGTTGTCGATCGACGGCCCGAACCACCAACAAACAGCATGCAACTGGCTATCCCAGGATCCCACTACAGAAACCAAGGTCCAAAATACAAGCACCAAAATGCACCAAATGCATGTGTCTTGTTTAGGAGCACCCCACATGATGGTGCTCCTTGTGGTTTTCTTTAAACCACCCAACATGAGCTACCCAAAACACGACACACCGAACGAAGTCATGATGTTTGAAGTTTGGACTGAGAATGCGTGAGAGGAGCTTCCGCTCGTGGGAGGTGAATCATGCCGGTATGGACCACAGGTGGCGGCCACCAGCATGCCCGGCCCTTACAATTATTTGGCTGATGTTGTTTTTGGAGGGTACCTTCTTTTTTTTTGGGGGGGGGTGCCCCTGACTGCAGGCCAGAGCCACACCGCCCCAGCTTTTACCCAAATACCCGGATACACATACATGTATAAACATGGTGAACCTTAAACTCTTAAGTACCATCAAACACATATCCCAACACACACTACATACATGTCTATGGATGTACTACTAGACTTCTTCTTCTTATTACTACTATTAATGCTATTCTTACTATTATTATCATTATCATTATTATTACTATATGGGTGTGGCTCAAAATTAAACAGGAGGGGCAAACCGCAGGTTTTGGTACCCATGTTTCCACTTACCAGGGCTTGCGCCATTTTGGAACTCCGGTTTTTTGAGCCGCAGCCATAATAGGTGTCCTTTTAGGGGAAATAGATGGCCCTGGTAGATGATTAAACCACCAGGTAAACCAGGGAAACCCATCTATTTTTCTAGCAAAACTACCAAAAAGGACACCTATGGAATTTGAACTATATGATTATTATTACTATAATGGGTGTGGCTCAAAATTAAAAAGGAGGGGCAAACCGCAGGTTTTGGTACCCATGTTTCCACTTACCAGGGCTTGCGCCATTTTGTACTTCCGGTCTTTTGAGCCACAGCCAACTGTGCTCATTTTCCTTCACACCACTAAGTGGGTGTGCCTTTAAGATAGAACCCCTGCAAGTGGCTGGTGGCCATTTGTTTTCCCTGATTATTGTTACTAGAGTATTATTAATATTATTATTATTATTACTATTAGTTTTATACGACTTTCGCCATCTTCCCTTGAATTCCGGGCAGCCACATGGCCTCCAGGTGGAACAGCCAAGCCCTGTTTGCCTCAGACGGACTGAGATGTGCGACCGGCGCGGAGCTTTATGGTGCAAAGTCCCTGTCGCACCACGTAAGAAATTATTTTTTGTTGGTATTTGCGGGGGAATCATCCTTTGATTGTTTCTGTGGATGCAAAGTTTTTGTCGCAGCACGTAAGACTCACTTGCCCAAAGGACCCGGAAGCAAAAGGTTTCGCGCTTTTAGGACCTTTTTTCTAGATATGGACCAACATGGGGAAACTAAAAGGTCAAAAGGTCGGCTTTGGACAAATGAGAAACCAAGGTTGAAACTATTTTTCGTGGGAGTTAATCCTTCCCGGGATTGTGAACGGTGGTGCGGGATTTCGTCCGTCCACAGTATGGTTGTCAGGCCCCCCCCCCAATAGGGGCCGATTCCCTAATTTCAATAGGGGCTAGCGACTAATAAGGCAGAATAGGGTTCCAAGTAATTTTGGGGGGTCCCCTCTTTGGGGGGGCCCCTAACAACCATGGGATGGTACCCCCCCGCCCCGTTTTGACAATGGCAAATTCATGGCAACACGCTATTGGCAGCAATATCCCTATCGGAGCAATATCTCTATTGGAGCAATACTCTGTCTCAAAAGGGCATCCTTTTTGGTTGGTTGAGTTTAAGAGGGAGCCGTTCCCCCAAAAAAGGAAAAACGAGCGCCACTGGACAACAGAGCTGTGTTAGGGGAACCAGCATGAAGCCATTGGGAAGCGTTGGCTTTTTGGCATGCTACGTGACCCGTCCAGAAAACCGAAGCTTTGCAAATTGGAGACACACGCACGTGTATGTCATCATGGCCACTGGAGCTCTCGACGACTTTTGTCTCTCTTTAGGTTGGTTCACCCCAAAAAATGATGTTTGGTCTTTCCTTCCACTTCCCTTCCCAAGCCAACAAAAAGGGATACCAACTCAAAACAGTAGTTTTCCTTTTAGCTCCGCGTTAAAATCAACCAAACAAGTGGTACCAAGTCAAAACCTGTGGTTTTTCCTGTTCATTTCCCTTCAAACCACCTAACACAAAGACGCGTAACTCGAGAAAAAGACGAGCCGATTTGGACTCGTCCACGTCGATCCGCCTCGGGGATGCCCAGCGCCAGCATCACGCTGCCCTCGGACACCTGAACAACTTGGGATCGTCGTTTTCCCCGGGGTTCGGGTGGGCACACAGAAGCCCAAAGGAAAACCCTTGCGCCGCCTTTTTTTGGGGTCCAACCTTAAAAACGACACCCACCTGCAAGCTCGAGTCATGACTGTGCAAACATGGAGTCTTGACCCCTCTATTTTGGGTAGTGCCCTCATGTTTGAAAGGTCGTGGAGACTCCAGGTCAAAGGTGATTACAAAGGTCAAGAGCTCGGTCTTGCAAGTGAGACAAGTTTGCTGCTTGATATACAGCTTGCGAGTTGTATTTATTTTTCCGAGTCGAAACTCGTTACTGTGGCACATGTTCACGCTTCAGAACCCCTTCTCCCGTGTTTTTTATTTTTATTTGTTTTTCTTGTTGTTGTTTTGTAATATAATACCCTAAACACGCATGTCTGGGCCGGAAATTTATTGGGGACACTCAGACCAACTCCGAGCCGAGTTTTCCGTAGACCTTCGGCATGACAACGAGTGCTGAAAAAACGACATGGTAATCCTTGGTCTGATTGGTGGAGTGGCCCAAACAAGTAAAACAAAAAAGTGCACCCTCCGTCCAACAATCGTGGAATCTAGGAGTTTTTGTGTACCCTCCCTCCAATTCTCATGGAATCTAGGGGAGTTGTGGAAGTCGGCTTTCATTTTGCGGGCACGCTTTTTTACTTGGGGTACGTTACTCAAACGGCCTTCCCGCCCAAACAGTGACCGAAACGTAACTCAGGTGAGTTGACAAACGCCAGGCTGCCGGCCGTGGGTCTTGTTTTGACTTGCTCGAAGACATGCGCCACTTGCCCCGGTCTCTTGGGTCGAGGAGCCAAAGGCTCTTGATGCATGGAACGAGCACTGGATTCTTGAAAGTGACCCTTGGCCCGGTGAAGAGTATGAGGTCCCAAACTTGGTCGACACAATTTTCAGTCGCGCCAAAAGGACAAAAGGAAGTCACCCTTATGATGATGGGCCGGCTCCATGGTTAAAACATTCACGGGAGGTTGAGAAATCATGACCCTTATCGGCCCTGACCCCTTGAAATGTGTGTGTGGATGCGTGGGTGGGTGGGTGGGTGGGTGGGTGGGTGGGTGGGTGTGTGTGCGTGTGCCCGTGTCTGTGTCTGCGTGTCTGTGTATCTGTGTATCCATGTGTCTGTGTCCGTGTTTGTGGCTGCGTGCTCGGGGTAGTATGTTTGTCTCCCAAAGGGAGTCCCCCTTCGGCCCCCTTCGGCCTCCTGTGCTCGAGCTCGCAGCTCCTCAGCCAGGGCCTCAGGAAAGGCCACGGACCTTGGCATCTCCTTCCTCCAGACCTGAGAGGATAGAATAAGTGGGTACCCGATTTCTTTTTTCTCTCCTGTAGGCTATTTTAAATAGGGGAACCCCTCCGCAAAAAAAAGGGAAGAAAGAACGAAAAGAAAAAAGAAGAATAACAAAAAACGGTAAAAGGGCACTACTGGGGGACCTAGTATCTAAGGAAACCACAAAGCTCAGAAGATATGGCCCTGGGTCAAAATCCCGTACCCCCTTTGAACATCCCAATCCCCACCAAACTAGGTTCTAACATGGGTGGTGCACCTACAATTCACCTACCAACCAAAATGGAATCCCAAAACGGTTTTGACAACCACAGCCATATAACAATCAGTTTCTATCAGTGTGCTCCTTGGACCCTAAAATGAGCCCAGAAATCAGCAAGTTAAGCCCCAAACCCAGAAAATGGAAATTCGCCCATATCTTGTAACAAGTTCATGTCTTGGAGATCCCAGATCTCCAGGCGCCTGGCAGCGTCGGAACCTGGCGATCGCTTACGGTCATGGGCAACTCCACTTAGCTCACGTCCTGCTTGACGTTGGGTTTGGGGAGGCAAACATTCAACAATTCTAGCAGTTAAGTCTGTGGATTTCGATTTCAACCACGAAACCACAAGGAAAAAGGTTAAAGTGTTTCCCAACAACAACCATGAACACTTGAGCAACCATGAACCAATGGGAAAAATGTCTCCCAACAACCAGGAAAGTAGGCTGGATTGGCCCAAAGGACACCCGCCTCTTTGCTCGTTTACACAAACAAAAGAGATCCGAACTCAAGTGGCCCAAGTCCGAAACGGGACTTAAGTGAGCCAGGGGCTTCGAAAAACCTGCCGCAACATGGCATCTGAGCCTACCTTGGTCTAGCTTGGTTGACGTTGGGTTTGGGGAGGCAAACATTCAACAATTCTAGCAGCTAAGTCTGTGGATTTCGATTTCAACCACGAAACCACAAGGAAAAAGGTTAAAGTGTTTCCCAACAACAACCATGAACACTTGAGCAACCATGAACCAATGGGAAAAATGTCTCCCAACAACCAGGAAAGTAGGCTGGATTGGCCCAAAGGACACCCGCCTCTTTGCTCGTTTACAAAAAAAAAGATCCGAACTCAAGTGGCCCAAGTCCGAAACGGGACTTAAGTGAGCCAGGGGCTTCGAAAAACCTGCCGCAACATGGCATCTGAGCCTACCTTGGTCTAGCTTGGTTGACGTTGGGTTTGGGGAGGCAAACATTCAATCAAATTTTAGCAGTCAAGTGGATTTCGATTTCAACCACTAAACCACAACAAGCAAAAATGTGTCAAATGTTGCCCAACGACAACCATGCTCCCCTTTTCATGAACTAAACCTTTGGGACTTGGACAAAAGTCGGCTTCCCTGCGAGCACTCCTTTTGAGGGACGACTCCCCTTCTCGACATGGAAAGCAAAGCGATTCTTGCTGCGATAGGTAGGGGATCACCGAGGTTCTTGAGATTGAACCTGAAGGGGATCCCCATTTGGATTTAGGGTTTCGGGTCATTCCATTCGAAAGGGAGCGTCGTTCCATTCTCATTTGGGTGTGGCTCAAAATTAAACAGGAGGGGTTACGCAGGTTTTGGTCCATGTTTCCACTTACCAGGGTTCCATTTTGGTACCGGTTTTTTGAGCCCAGCCATTTCCGGGTTTTGCCGGTCATGTGGGGAACCCTAAAGGAAACATCTCTGGGGCCATTCCATTCTCGTTCCCTGCATCTGACAGGCAAGGTATGCCCAGTCCAAAGCATCATGAGCTCTGCAGAAGTGATCTGGACCTGCGCTTTGGCTTTACCACCCTCGGTAACAACTGGTGGGCTTTTTGGAGCACCCACAATATGAATGGACAGAACCAAACAACCCAAAAACACGTGCCAACAACAGTGAAGGTAGGCAAAGGACACACCAGAAGCAGGTCAATGTGAGGGTTGTCAAACACATGGACCCCTTGTTGAACCCTGCCGCCTTGTGCCGACGTTTTCAGGAGTTGCATGAGGCTTCATAGAAACACACTCCACACATTATACAAATGTGTATATATACACGTCTACATAGTGCATGATGCATGGGCATAGATACATGCGTATCACCTGTGGGTGAGTGTAAGCACACGAATCAGCCCTGCTGCGCACGGCAAGTAGATGTTCTCTTCCTCGCCTTCGAGTTTCTCGCTCACGAACTGGGGTCGCCCCATGACCTCAGGAGACGGCGTTTTTTTGTGTTTTTTGTTTTTTACGGGTGGCTGAAGAGAGCCATGGCTGCCATGGCCAGGACCTCCCCTACAGAGGTTAGAATAAGTTGGTACCAACCTTTTTTTCAGTTTTGTCTATTTTAGTCGGGGAACCCTCCCCCTAAAAAGTTGGTAAAAGGGCACTACTCAGGGACCTAGGTGAGGCAATCTCTGGGTCATCGGTTTGTCAGCCCTTCAAGGCGCCAGGGCTTGGGAAGAAGCTCTCTTCCCCTGTGGAGATCTTTCATTTTGCTGGACAGTCTTCCCATTGACCCTCCACAAGAAGCAGGGGTTCAAATCCAAATCCAAATCCAAACCACCAATCCAAATGTCGAATTGATGGTGTGGATTGGTGGTCTTCAGCTTCCCTCTATCTGGCGATTTGGATTGGTGGTTTGGTGGTTAAGGCGGGGCTTCCTATTGACGCTCTACAAGACCCAGGGAATCCAAATCCAAACCACCAATCCAAAGCACCAACCTGGCGGGTTGCCAGCACAAAGAAAACAACGGGAAGTTTCAAACCTTCGGCAATAGCTCTTGGCTACCAGGTTGCAAGGGGTGGAAGAATCCAACATGCCCAAATCCATAGTCTAAGACTCCACATATCTTACACAAAAACGCCTTGGAGCCACGTACATGTGTATATCTCTCTCTCGATAGACATGCATCATGGTATATATGGCCATCAAAAGCCCGTACCCCCAGTGAACATCCCAATCCCCACTGAAATAGACTAAAATGGGTGGTGCCCCTACCCGAAAATGGTACCATTGGCTTTGACCCACAGCCATATGGCACGGTACCATACAAGGGGATATTGCGGGATCTTGAGGATATATGCCCCAGCTCCAAAAGGTCTGCCCTTGAGAGGTTGCTTCATCTCAACGCCACGAAAGCGTGGCGCCTCTTCGATCTCTGAGCCTCTGGCAGCTTCCCGAGCGCCTCGGTTGGGAAAAACGCGGAGGCCTGGTATGGGCTTGTCTTAGAGAGTCAACCTCAGTGTATGAAGAGATGGGTGTTCCCCTCAAAAAAGTGATAATTCACAAAACCCAGGTACACCTCCCTATTGATAACCTGGGGTTGTTTCATATGGGTTCAACATTACGCCTCTTTTGGGGTTGGTTTAAAGGGAAACAGGAAAACCCTTGAGCCATTTGGGGGTCCAGCAAAAAAATGACACACTCAAATGGGGCTCTTGTTTCTCTCCGATGGAAGCTAACGATTACATGGTAGACTACTTTGCGGAGCCCCATGCTCACTTCCAGGAGGTTTTGGAAAGGCATCCCTTTTGGGCTGGATCAAGAAAGCTTCCGAAAGCAACCGCGTCTAGGCTCATTTTGAAAAACAAACCCAACTGTCCCTCTGTGCGATGGGGAAAATGCAGATCGGGATAATCCTAAGCTTAGGATATACACCATGCTCTCATTGCTGTGAAGCAACCCCAAGGAACCTCAAGGTGAGGAGCCAGGGATCTGCCATGGGTCTGCGGGGAAAATCTGCGCGATTGCAACTGGCAGGTTTCACAGTCCTACAGAGCTCCCGGTCTTGGTTTTTGGCCATTCATGACAAAGAAACTAGATTCTTCACTCCTCACTTCCTCAGTGCATGGTCAAAAAAGCAGTCCAATTTCCTGTTCTCTACCACTAAAGTTGTCCAAACCCACAAAGTGGCGAAAGTCCGAAGCAAAGCGCAGGAAGCGAGTCACCTTCCCTGCCGAAGCTACCGCTCCGGGACCGAATTCAAGTCAGCAGGTCAATGCGTTTGACTCATGACATAGGTGTCCAACCCTTGGCTAGGTCCTCCTGCAGTCTATGCTAGTAGGGGAACCCTGCCCCAACAAAAAGTAAAAGGGCACTACTGGGGGACCTAGTTGGTATGGGCTTGCAAAAACCAGGTCCTGTTGTTTGCAGCCTACTCAGAACGAACAGAACAAAACAAACACACTCTTGCCAAGAGCAGTGAAGCAACAGTCAACCATGTGCAAAACAGGGTATTTGAGGGCATTGTTTTTGGCGCAACAGCTCAATCGTTGTTGAGACCTACATGAGGTAGTGATGCTTCCACTCTCGGTTGAAACCAGCGCTAAAGCAAGGAACTTGTGCTGCTTGAGACCTTCGGGGTTGGCCTGCGGGTGGGCAGGGTATTTCTAGAAACGCAGGTTGGATGTGCTGTTGTACATGTTCACCTGTTTTCCCCCTAGTCCTTGGCTAGTCATCTTTTAGTACTCCTTAAGTATTGTTTTCTAGAGTGTTGGATTTAACCGGGATGAAATACAGCCAGCATTTCGGCAGGACTACGGTGTCAGTGCCGTAGAACCAATGTCGGAGCTGTAGTTTGCAGCGGTGGGAAGGTCTGTGTTCTCGAGGGTTGCTGGGTTCTTTGCCGTTGGCTTGGTGCTGGCAGATGGAGCCTGTGTCAAGCAACACAAATGCACTTATTTCAACAACACAACACACTCAAACGAGCATCCGGCGTCTTCTGCAGGGTTGACTGTCTGCTTTGCCTGTCAGATGTGCAGGTCCGAACACAAGAGGGTCATGGTCAGCATTGGTCTTGCCAACTGCAAATGAATCTCAACATCAGAAACATGGCCATGGGTCAAAATCCCGTACCCCCAGTGAACATCCCAATCCCGACTAAAACAGACTAGAATGGGTGGTGCACCTACCCCAAAATTGCATTAGGTTTTGACCCACAGCGGCATGAACACTTGCGCAAAGCAAACCAAGACTGGCCGATGCGCCCAAGTTCACCAGGACAAAGTGCTTGATGGTGGGCTTCTGGCAATGTGTTCTCACGATCCATCTTGAGTTTGCTAATGTTAGCCCCGGAGTAAGCAGAACCCCTGATTGGGGGGTGTCCCCTTTTAGTGGGCATTCATCACTTTTGGCGGGAACACTCCCCCAAATCATGAGGACGGGTTTATGCATCCTGGGTCAACATTACCCCTCCGTTTTCATTTGCTTAAGGCCCCTGAAAAAACAACAACAACATATGTCCAGTATTGGTAGATTCCCTTTGATACCAGCACGGGAAAATAAAAGAAATGTTCATTTCAGCAAATGGATGGCTCCTTGCATCACATGGTTCGCTTGAAACTGTCTTGGTGAGGCTCTGCTTCCTTGCTGGTGTTAAAGGGAATCCTGGGATGTCGTTTTTAACCTTCCATTTGCTTAAGCCCTCTGAAAAAAGAAGTCCAGTATTGATAGATTTCCTTTGTCACCAGCAGGGGAAAAAACAAAAGCAAAAACAAAACACAAAAACATGTCCTTTTCAGCAAATGGATGTCACGTAGCTTCCTGGGTGCGCCCCTTAGCTGCCACCTCGGGCCCTTCGGGCTCCCGGCCATCGTCCAGCACGAGGCTGCCAGTGACCCCAGCGCCCGCGACCATCTGGAAGTCCAGCACCTGTCGCTTCCGACGACGACGACGCAGCTTCCCGAAGGTGGAAGAAGCTCTCTTCCCCCCGGTGGGTTGGGGCTTAGGGTGAAGGCCCTAAAGGGTTCGACATTTAGGGTTTAGGGTTTGGAGACTTTTGCCGGACAATAGTTGGTTTGGACTGGTGGTTTTCAGCCTTGGCGGTTTGGATCGTTTTGTTTGGTCGGTTGCCCATATGAGCTACAAATCCACATCCAGCTCCCACCGGGCTGAAAGTCACCAATTCAGGACCTGATGTCAGCTTCAAGTGCTTCTTCTTGCCAAAGGGCCCCGTAGATTTGGAAAGTCGTGGGAATTTCTTGAAGCTCCAAGCACAAGAAAGCGACAAGACTTGTGAAAGTTGGACATAGCCCCGCTTTTGAAAGTCGTGTGAGTTTGATTTTCTTTTTAGGGTGGGAAGTTCCAGCCACAAAAAAAACGACCAGTAGTGGGACCGAGGAGAGATGCAAGAAGCAGGTGGCTGTCGGCGATGTCGACGCGATGGGGGGGTGACCATTGAAGAAACCACCAAACAAGATGTGATGTTCACCATGGGAAAAGTTACCCATGCTCAAAATTGGGGCCTTTCACGGGAGTATTGCGAGCCCACAGTGAGCAAGAATCAGATGCAGCCATCAGAGGCGTTTTGCGTATCCACAGATCCTCACTGGGTTGGCCCAAATCAACGTATTCCAAACTTTGCATTTGCCACAAACATGGTCCAAGCCCAAATACCTAAATTCCCAAAGTGAGCCGGGCTAGGCTTTAAAAAGCAATAAACGCTGAGAGGTCCCTCCATAAAATTCGAGCCCACCTAGGTCCAGCAGAGAGGTTAGAATAAGGGTACCCTTTTTCTGTAGTCTATTTTAGGGGAACCCTCCCAACCAACAAAGTTGGTTAAGAAGGGCACCTAGCTGGGGATCACGCCACTCTTTCCGCGAAGAAACGGCACTCCGGCCGTTTCACGGGGAGGATCCGCAAAACAATTTCTCCAGCGGTTCGGTTGCCGTTCTACTGTGGATGGACGAAATCCATTTCGCACCACCCAAGAGACTCTGGCATGATTCGATTCCCCAACGTAAATACCAACAAACGTTATGGTTTTTCGATGGCCCCAAAGTGGTGGAACGGATTTCGCAACCATCCACAGTATGAACGTATACCCTAGACTTCCAAAGGACATGAAAAAATGGCCGAGGCGGTACATTTTCTGGGAAAAGAATATGTTTTGCTTAAATTTGGTTGGATCATGATTTTCACGAAAATCCCACTTAAAAGTAGCTGGAACGAGGTTCGTGCGCTTCGCATTGCCTTCTGCAGAAACTTGCCAACGTCAGCCACGGGGCACGGCTGGGGAACTGTTTACTTGATATATGCATGTACTGGTCCAGCATACATCCCCACACAGTCCAATCTTAGTGCTATTTACTAACATTCGCGGCCGTAGGCCTGAGAACCAACATTGGCGTTTATCAGACAATTGTTGCTCTTAGAGCCTAGTTCGACAAATCTCAGTTCGACAAACCCATGTCCTTAGCTTCGTAGGGCACACCAGCGCACATGCGGTAAAGCAATTTTCACATCGACCGAACATACCGATCCAATCGAATCAGCCAGCGCCCCAACACCCGGAGCTCAAGAAGTCTTCTATGTACCCGCCGGCATAGGCCCTTAATGGATCCTATACAGTCTTCGTCCACATAGCAGTGGGTATGGCGAACATTAAGCCGTTCGGCTCTCATTTGAAAGTTCAACTCCTGAAAGTAGTGCAACTTTGGGCGATAGGGAAATCGCAGGCTATTTCGGGCCGCATGAAACTTTGCCAGCCACCCGTAGCTCTTTGCTTCAAAGCTCTTCGGCCTGACTTGCAGAGAGGAACCTGGGAGATTGCTCCACCTTAAGCATCCAATCAGACAGCTTGTTCAAAGTCATGTTGCAAACTGCCAGGTTATCTGGAGGCGTTTCCCCGCGCCTTTCAAACCAGCGCACGCCTCTGCTAAGCACACACCCAAAAATGGTGTGAGAACCCGAGATGCCCACGCTTTCCTGGTAGTGCCTGGTAAAAATCCAAACTTGGAACTTGGAAATCAGACTTTGTGGATTGTGGCTTTACCAAGCAAATGTGCTCAGTTCCCAAATCAGTTTGCTGGCAAAAAAAGCAATTGAAGCCAGGTAATCTGCTTGGGTTTTTGCACTATGATGGGGTTCCCAGCGCGTGCAAAATTATGTTTTCACGCCGCACCCGTTGTGTAGGCGCAACCATTTGTTGAAGCGAGCGTTCATCTCCACCAGTTGGCCTGCTAGACCATCTCTGTTGATCGGCGGTCCTGAGCTGCATCATGTTCCAGTGTGCGCATCAGCTTCCAAACAGCAAGAACACTAAACCAAAAAAAGAGTGTTGCGAGAAGCTCAAAACATATTTATTTGAGATGAGGCACCCCAAAACTGGTGATCAACTAGCTCCAAAAACGCGCCCGCATTGACCCATTCGCACAGGCCAAGATGCACAGTATGCATACTGCAAATGCGAATGAGATTTGGCGAAAAGCCAACGACCCCAACCAGCAGGTTGATATAGGATGATAGCGAACGGTTCACGAATTCAACGCTCGTAAGTCGTCTGAATTCCTCGAAGTTGTCAAAGCGCGTGTACCTAAACATGACACCCGAATATTCAACAAAGCTAATATTGCAATCCTATTAGGTTCGTTGGAAACATGACGGGAAATAACAAGTATGAACTAATTGCTCTTAGGCGCTGGCTTGGAGTGTTCAATTTTGTTGACTCGCATAAATGACATAAAGCATTGGATTTGTAAAATCGTTTGAATTTCCAGATTTCACAGTGCCACTTTAAATCTCCTCTGGTTTCCGCCAGGGAATATCGCTCGCGCATTTGCTTGCCAGACTTTCCTCGCTTAGCCAAAGGACCTGGAAGTAAAAGGCTAACCTGTTGGGGCTATGGACCAAAAAAGGGAAACTAAAAGGTTAGAATCAATCCAAATTAAAGGTCGGGCGTTGCGCAAGCGAGTTTCTGGCGTTGCGGCGAAAGAGGTTCCTCATGTGGGCCCTGAAGGGGAAAGATGCCAGTGTAGGCAACCTTACTCCAAGGGCTCACCCAATCACATATTCAGCTGCTCTGAGAAAATCTAATATTTTCCAAATTTGGTAGCTAAGGCACGTTGAGGCTCCATGCGGCGACTTTCCACATTTCGTGAAGGGTTTCCACCCCCAGACATAGCTCCATTCGAAGGATGAAGCACACCAAGTGGATTCGGGGTTGAAACTTCACAAGGGCTTTGAAGGGAACCAATTTTCCGATCTGAGTTGATGGGTGTCACAGACATCAGAAAATCATGACTGGATCGAGGTGAGATTCTTTCTACATTGGTCAAGATCGAGTTCAGCTCATCTCCCGCTAGCCCAATTTGTGGTGGCACATGTGTTCCGTGGCTGGGTGTTTGGCACTCACCCCAGCGACGGAAGTGGTCCCAATAGGCACGGATATCGGTCTGCGAGGCTTTGATGAGTCCGACTTCCTGGGGCATCCAGATTGAGTCTAAATATTCGGTAATCTTCTGGATCTGGGAAAAAACGCATGTTCAAAAGTAAGGTTTGCCAAGCCAAGTTTCGGACAAGTAGCTCAGAAGCTCATGTGGCAGGATCATGGGGACAGTCATCTTCGTTTTGCACAAAACACGGGGGTAGTCAAGGTCCCGGACTGTCAAGGATTTCCTTTTGGGGGCAAAAGTAGGCAGGTGGCAGATTCCATAAAGAGAATTCCAACCGATTCCAACGCCACACTGAGGGCAAACTGCAGAAAACCACAGAACTGGAAATACCAACTGAGCCCAGGCACAATTGGTAAATCGAGCAACCTCATCAGGTACCTTCCGCAGTTGGCCGGCCGCTGCCCCGCCGCCCCGATTCTGGCCAGTTTCTTGGTCATCTCCGAGCAGTGACCACCGCTTTCCTTGGTTTAAACAACGCAAACCAAGCACACACACACACACACACACGCACACAGAATGCACACACACACGCTCTCAAATCCAAACACACCGACAACAAGCTTGTGGTGAGCATGCGCGCACACGTGTCCACGCGAGAACCAAACACAAACAACGTTAACTCCCAAGCACTGCGTTACCCGCATTTCGCCTCCAAATGGGTTGCACTTTTGCACAGAGGAAGCCGGGACACTCAGAATCTCTAGCTGCGAGCAAGTCGCTTGCACGCAGGCTGCTGCAGCTTGCTGTAGATCGGCACATGATGTTGCCTCCAGACACTCCCGGGCTTGGCAAGCTAACGGAAATCTGACAAAAGATTCATGATTAGCTTCGAATTCCTCGATTTGGTGTGAGCAGACATCCGTTAGCCTCCAGGGCAAAGCTATCACAGGTTCACTACCTTCCACCATACGGATACTGCATGCAGTATCACTCAACATCCGAGCTACCCAATATCATGGTAATAGCAAGCTGTAGACCTTTTGCTTACTTTCCATCACAATTCTCCATTAAACCTCGGACTTGATGTGTGTGTGCAGCTCTTGAAACATACCCCCAGCAACGTGCATCTGACAGCGTTGAAGTTAAAGCACAGTCAGCTAAGCACGGGCCACCCCCCAAACACGATCGGAGCCAACCAGAGCAACACTCTAATTCATAAATGCCAAGGCGTGTGTCTACGCAAGTTGCACCGCGCATCTAGCTGAATCTAGCCGTGTTTCTTCATGGTATGGATGGCTCCAACCGACGTCTCATTTCGCAGCCGCCTTAGGCTTGCTGCACATCCTTTGCTTATAGGCACTGATGCAAGACGTCAGGCTGGAAGTTTCGGTCATCAGTTGGTCGCCACCATCACCCCAGGCCACCGCTGCCTCCAGGACTCAGTGTTTGGTTATATGGAAATATTCACCCCACCCAAACACTCATTTACTCACCGGCCAACTGGGTTGGCATACAGCATGGCGACCCTGCCTCAACCCTCGCTCTGGAATTGTCCAATTCCTTGATGTGGATTTGGATGTCTTTCACCGCGGCTTCCACCAAGATTAGCGACCTGTGCAAATTGGAAAACAAAAACAAGCTAAGACAGGGACGTTCCAGACGCCTCAGGCTTCGATTCCCAGCTTTTGAATTCCAAAATATTCGCGCTGCCTTGCGACATGGCCTCAAACAGCGCCCTGAATTGAGCTCACCCTGCACCTTCTCAGCTTCCTCAGCTTGTTCGGCATCCGGCACCTGTAGCGGGCACTGACTGATCAGCACCCTAGTGGAGCTAGTTAGCGAATCTGTTTAAGTTGCAAGGTTGGAACCTATATGTTACACGCAGGCCTTGGCAGAGAGGCCTTTCTGGCTCTTCTTGGAGAGTTCCTGGGATCAAATCGAATCGTTATCCTCGATCGGAGGCACTGCAGAACTGACTCTCAAGCCCGCACTGCGAGTGTGCAGTCACGGTCCGAGCTGGAAGAGCACTCAGTTGGTTCCTGGCAGTGCAGCCATCAAGAATCATTTTTGGCATCCAAACGTGCTGGGAAGTTGTTCTTCAAATCAAACGCTTTCTGACCCGGAATCAAAGGTTAGCCTTTTGGGAAATCTACTTGTATATGGCGCAGGGCGGAAAGTGAGTATGCCAATCCGGGCCACGCCTTCGGCTGAAGCTGCGCCAGCTCCAGACCATGCATGATGGCCGTGTCCACGTCGGCAGGGCTCAATGCTGGCACGGGGCAGCATCAAGCCAACTGTGATAACACAAACATAGGGCCTGCAACAGCTCGTCGGATAATCTCCTTGAGAACTTGGATCTTTTTGCTCCTTGCATGATGCCATCAAACGATTAAAGTGCAAGGTCATGTGCATGCATATGCATGGCCAGTCAGTTTACTTCAATAATGCAGAAAAACATGACCCGTTTGCACATGAAGCTATCCTGGGAAATATGTGTCAAGCATATATACCAAGCCTGCTCGTCGTTGGAGGCACCCTGAATTCCTGATACGAAATCAATGAAACCCTGTGTCAGGGAAGGAGTATGTGTGTCAATTTGGAGCTCGATCAAGATCGACCGCTGTCGGAAACACAGTCCTTGACCACTCCCCCTTTTTGTTTTTCGGAGGAAAAAGCCCATACGTGAGCGCGATCTTGTAGAACACGCCCTGCAGTGAAGGAGCTGTTTCTGGATGAAATGCAATTTTGGGCTCATGGGACCGGCCTTGAAATTGTTCAGGGGAGGGATCACTGGTGCCAGAGTCGCGTAAAATCGCAGAGGAACTCAAAGTTCTGTTCAAGCGTGTCCTTTGAGAAGACACCACCCTGCTTGCCCACATGGATAATGCCCTTGTCCTGAGCCAACATATGCGAATGCAATTCATGTGACCCACTTGAAATATTAGTACAAGCAAGGCAGCCTGTCAGGCCTGCGAATCCCGAATGCAGCCCATGCGGGTTGTCGCTGCGGTGACGTAGCTGTAGACCACATCCTCAAGAGCCTCTGGTCACGAAGAGGATCAGCATCAGCCTCATGGGCATGGAACCCCTGTGCGAAAGTGCTCATGCGTGTCATCGATCGCTGATGCGCCATGCCAAATGCGATGATGCGAAAACAGCCACACAGGCAAAGCGGGTTAAGCGGGTTACGCCATGCATATGTAGGCAGGGGGTGCAAAGGGTCCCCATCAGTTGTCTTTCAAAATGTCGCACCGTCCAAGCTCGTTGCTTGCCGCTCTGAGCGGAGCGAGGTAAAACGGCCTGGGCAGTGCAGAGAAATCGCTCGCGGGGGCAGGAGCCGTGACTTCATCAAAAGAATCCCACATACTCCATGAAGGAAATATCTGGGTAAAATTCCCTTCATGGAGTGTCTAGGAACATAGTGTAAGCCAGCGGCGTTTGGCAGCTGCCAGCAACATGGCGGCATTCAGGCGCTCTTCATGTCAAATATCTTGTGAAGTCCAGGCTCCCTAGTTCTTCATGATCTTACCACTGGGGATAGCTTTGATCAAATTGCATATACTTCGCATATATATGCGGCCACGAATCCCACAACCCAGCCGGCACTCCAATATTAATTGCACATCACGTGTGAATGATATGCAACCCTCCAAATGTGTCAATTGGTTGGCAAATATTGGAGTGCCTCAAGGGAGAGTGCCCAAGCGGGCAAGCCACATGCAGCGGGAGGCATGGCAACTTGACAAATCCGACAAATCCGACAGCATGTTTGGTTCGACAAACCCAATGTAGCCCTGAGAAGCCTACATTTAACTGTAGGCCTGAGAGGCCTACATTTCAATGTTGGTATATATGACCAACATGGATTCTGTGGGATCCATCGATCCAAGCATGCATATTTGGCTCACAAGTCTTTGGTTGCCCAATTGCCAAGCCAGAAAAGAGCAACAAAGTCCTGAGAAGTCACGTGCCGCAAATTGACACCAAAATGGCAAAAACGGGGTGTGCAGAAAATGTCTTTTCTACGGCAATAAATGGCCGTTCTACGGCAGAAAATGTACTTTCTACGGCAGAAAATGCACTTTCTACGGGTTGTCTACGGTTTGTCCACGGTCCCTCTCGGTCGCAAGTTGCAAGCAACGAGCAACGAGCTCAACAAATCTCGGTTTTACGACTCGACCTGATGTGAATCCTGATTTTGCTATGTGTTTCCCCTTCTGCGGAATTAAGTACCCCTGACTTACACATAACTTTTCTGAGCGGTTTTTTGCTTGCCTATGGTTTTCCCGAATGGTTTGCCTGTGGTCTATGATATGTCTATGGTATGTCTATGGTTTGTCTATGGTTTGTCTATCGTGTCAATTTGCCCTGATCAGAGCACTCGAAGAAATTGAGCCCCCATAATGGATGCAAACAATGTCCCTTCTCGAGCAAAAAATGCCCGTTGTCCTAAGGACATTTATTTAATGGCCGAGGAAGTTCTGGGTATACAAACTTAGCCACTGTTGATTTCTTAAGGTTCGGCACCGGTTCTGGGAGATCCGCAAATTCATGTCTCCAGCGGTTCGGTTGCTCAGTTGTTCAGTGACCCTGGGAAAAAAGAATTGGAACCCTTCTTGGGGCTTGGACCATTTTTAGTGGGGCAGCCACCCAAAAAACAGTCGGAAAAAGAAAAAGAAAATGGGTGCCACTGAACTGAGGTTGCAAATCGTCTCCGGCCATCGCGCCTCGAAGGTCTTCTGGTCCTTAGGCAGCGCCGAGGTGACAGCCCGCGACACCGGGTGCACGGAGAGCTGGCCTCAGCCGGGGCACGTTGGCGACGGGACGTGCTGCCTGGGAGGTTGGGGCATGTTCTTCCTGGGAAGTTCCGCTCGTTTTCTAGGTCCGCCAGATTTGAGAGGTTAGAATAAGTTGGTACCAACTATTTTCGGTTTTGTCTATTTTAGTAGGGGAACCCTCACCCAAAAAAGGGTGAAAGAGCATCTGTGGTGGACCTAGTTTTGGTTGGCATTTTAGTTTTAAGTGGATATTCCTCATGGGAAGTTCAACTTGTGTTTTGGTTGTCAGCTGAAAAAGAATGTCCGTTTCCCTGGTGGGCATCAAAAGGGAAACCTTGAAGTGAAAAAAAAGACCCCCCGGGAAACGAAAGAAGTGGTTGACATTTTAGCACAAACACATGTTGTTGTTTGAGAACCTCTGTGAGGAATGCCCCAAATCTCTGGCTGTTTTGTTTAGCCGGGGGTGTCCAGTCCCAGGCTGGCCACGGTTAGCATGTTCTCACAGCGCCAACAGCCAAGCGCTCATCTGGGTGTGCCGTTGAGATGCCCTCCAAGCTATTAAAACATGGAACCTGACGTTCCGGGGTCCTCCAGGACTTCCCGTGTCAGGTTCCATGTTTTGGTGGGAGGGTGCACTTTTTTAAGAGTGGTTGGAAGCAAACACGACAGCTTTTGGCAGTAATCCTCCCACTGCCATCTTGCGGATTGAACAGCCCAGGACTACAAGGGAGACCACTCATTGAAACCGCCACCATTTGGCAGTCTGGGATTTTGATGCGGGTTTGTGCCAAAACAGGGGGGACCCCCCAAACTGGTTTGCGCTGTGCCGTCCCTCTCATCTTTAAACCCTCAAAAAGCTCATCAACACCGACATTTTTTAGCTTTGTGCCCTGAAGGCAGACTCCAGTTGGGTAGCTTCTCACTTCCTGAGTGGCACTCGGCAAAAACAAGCAACCAAACTTTTCGGTTTCGCAAAAAAAAACCCAAGAAAGTTGCCCAGCCCCAAGAAAAGTGACTCAAGTCCGAGTTCCGCAACGGGCGTGAGGGAACCCGTAGCGCTGCACCATGCAGTTTATTTTCCTCAGACCCCGGAAAATGCCGTTTTATTCTTCTCTTTTTGTTTTTCCGTTGGTCGTTGGAAGGGTGGTGTTCACCATATGTGCGTCGGTTTTTCGGGGTTTTCCACGTTTCTAGGAACTTCATGTCCATTTCGTCAAAAAGTAGTCTTTCGAAGGTTTTGACGGTTGCACATATCAATCAACCGGTTCTATTTTTAACATAAGTGGGCCCCCTGCAAAACGGGATGGATTCGAAGTCGCATGAGTCAGAGGCCCCCGGCCCAGCGACGCTGCGCAGGCCAATGGCTCCAAGCCCTCGCCCTCGGGTCCCGCGGATTTGAATCAGATTCTGGCGGTGCATTTAATTCAGCATGAAAATTACTGTTTGAACCATTAATTAGGAGTCGAAGGATTTGCTGAAGCACGTAATCATCGCGGTATTGGACAAGTTGAACGTATTATTGGTTATTTGCAATCAATAATTAATGCATGCAATTCAACAAATTGAAGAGCTGGGGCAAAACGCAGGTTTTAGTCTTTGGTCCCATTTAGGTGGCATTTTGGTACCACGTTTTTGAGCCACAGCCAAATGGCGCAAGGGGTTTTCCGTTTTGTTTCCTTGGCGCCAAGCCCGAAAAGGGGTACCAGGGTACTCATAAAAGACAGACCCATGCTGTGGATGGTTGAAATCGAAAATTATGTCGCACCGCACCACGAAATGAAACCATGGGAATGAAAAGCATAAGGATGGTTGGTATTTACGCTGGGGAATCAAATCATAAACATGTCTTAAAGGTGGTGCCAAATGGACTTCGTCCATCCACAGTATGTCCCTTGAAAACATGGGTTTTGGTAGTATTTCCAAGGCTTGATCCATTCATGGTCCGGAATTTTGTCAGCTACTGCCCGATTACGGCAGAGTAGTTCGGATTTCTGGGAAGGCTGGAGGCTATCCAATTGTGCCGTGCGCAATTAGCGCTTGAATCGAAGCTACTTCCCCATTCTTTCCAGGGAGTTGTCTTTCTAGAAAACCACCAAAAACCCTTGGGAAATGGCTGGTTTTTGAAAAGAACGAAGCCTGAAAAAGATTGGGGAATCAACCCCTAGAAAGCTTGGTTGTCTTTCTGCAGCTCTGATGCAACACAAGCTTTCCATGGCTCAAAATCGGTTCTCAGCAGGAAAGTGGGACAAGTTCTCCGGCGTGGTAATGCAAACAAACTATGCCGCGCTCTTTCCTGACGTATGGGCAAAACCATGCGTAGAGCAAACACATGCAGCATGCACCGCCCTTCTGCCCTGGCGACCCAGCCCTTGAAATCTAGAAAAAGGCGCTGTCGCTCGCAAAATGCCCCGTCCTCCGACATGCAGTTTGTTTGGCGTAATTTTGGCTTGAACGCACACTCAGAGCGAGAACCATTTGCAATAACCGCTCTTGGTGCATTGCCAGGCAGAGAGTTGTGTTGCATTCCGGATCAGCCGAGATAACACACTTATCATACGCATCAAATGAGATCAAGCGCAGAATCTCTACCTGCAACTGGCCGCATTGAATGGCACTCCCTGTATCAATCAATATGCTGAAGCAGCCAGCGGTGCGAGAAAAACATGCAACATGGGCATTTTGCAGTGCACATCTCACTTTTCAACCATGCCAGTCCAGGAAAGTGTCCCTGGGTTTAGTGGGGATTCAAGAACTTAATGGGGACACCCCCTACTTGCATGTTCGGCCAAGTTAGAAAGTGGCTAGCCATTTGGGGTATAACATGTACAACCCCCTTTCAAACGAGGTTGACCCGGTTATAACCTAGGTTGCCAACAACTTATCAACATGGCCGAACACCCAAGTAACCATGGCACGTGTTTATTCATCCGGGGTCAACATTACCCCCCTACTGTGGCTGGACGAAATCCTGCACCACCTAAGAAACGGAATGATGATTCCCTGTAAATGGCAACAAACCAATTTAAAAGGGGTGCAACCATTTTCGTCCACCCCCCTATCAGTTGTACAGGATCCGGATCCCGGTGGAAGGTGGAAAAGGCTCTCCTAGGTCCTCCAGCAGAGAGGTTCGAATCAGGGTACCGACTTTTTTCTGTAGTCTGTTTTAGTAGGGGAACCCTCCCAACCAACAAAGTTGATAAGAGAAAGCGCCCCAAGCTGGGGGACCTAGGCTCATACCCCCGAATCGGTGAGCTCGCTCGTTTCTTTTTTGGATACCTTGATCATTGGCCGAAATTCACGTCTCCAGGCTCCAGGCCTCGGCCGCGGCCTTCCCAATCTCCTGCGGTCTCCGAGTCGGTCAAAGGTGCGGCGCTGACGAAAAAAACAACATGTACCATGCTTGCGCGGGCACAAAAAAACATCTTACCTGAATACGTGGCACATGTAAACATGTGATCGTGTGGGTGCTTCTCAATCTAGGGCCCAAGACGGCAATGGCTTCCTCTTGACTTCCCTTTTAAAGGTAGAGGTGTTTGGTGGTTTGGGGCAACGCTCCAAAACTAATCCTAAACGCCACAACTCACGCAACAACATTTCTAAAACAACCCTAAAGGCATCGTTTTTCCAGCAGCACACCCAACACACATCAGCTCCCAGCCGACCCCAAATCCACCCAAAGTCAACCCTAAACACGCCCAACAGCAGCCTGGATGTCAGCCCTAAATCAACCCCACACCACCACAAGACGCACCCTAATGAAGACCTAAACCCGCCTTAACTGAACCAGCCCCCAGCAACTCCCAACTCCCAATCAGAGCCAATAGGCAACCCCCGGCAACCCCCGGGCCAAGTGAGGCTGGTGATGCGGCAACCAACCAACCCAGCCCTAGTAAAAAGAAAACAGCCCTAGGAAATAAACACACATAAATAAACACCGGATCCCCCTTGAAAGTACCAATCAAAAGGGAGCCGTAGCAACATTTTGAGACACCTCCACGTGATGTAGAACCTGCTAGCATGGGCGCCGGCAGAAAGGCAACACCTCATGGGTGGGTGAGGCAACCGAACGAGGTACGCTGTACTTAGCACCAATAAAACGCCTAAAAGGAAGGCGTCTCTGATTTTACTCCACCCAGAACACACATTGTTTTGGGATCACATTGATGTCTCTTGATGCTATGACCCCAGCAGGGGCATGCAACGGAAGTTCCCTTTTCAACAATGCGAGCGTCACTCTTCCCAGTGTGATGCTGCAGGACAACCTTATCATTCATTAGTCGAGGCATTCCCGGTTTCAAAAACTGGTTCGGCTCCAGGTGGAATTCTCCCAGAACCCTTTTGGAAGACTTGAGTCATAATCAAACCCGGTATGAAAATGGTCTACCCAGAGCCATGCTTCAAGAATTAAGAAGGCGGAATTCCGCAGCCACCTATGGCAAGGGCATTGTCCCTTAACCTTCATGTACCCAAATCGGTTTTGAGGACGTGGCTCACTTGGTTTCATTAAGGCCGTGGCCTTGTGGGAGCTTCTGGCTGCTAGTCTGCAGGGATCTCCAGCGGATGTTTCGACAGCGTCCTCGATCTTCTGCAAGGTGGGAGTGCCAGTCGTCAAGGTTCCGGTCCTTATGTGACCGAGGCTCACGGTGAGCCACGGTCAACATTCAGCCCCCTGACGTGAACAAACATTGGGCTTGTAGCACTCATGTACATTGTTTGGTGAAACCCCCTGTAATGGTGGTGGGTTGGTGAGTACGTTGAGTGAAGGCCGCATATTACTGTTCTCAGAGATATGTTGATAGTGGATGCGGATTAATGCTCGCATCGAGAGCGCATTCTACATCGAGACGGCATTCTCCTGGACCACTGTCATGTACCTCCGATTTCGTGCTCTGCTCAGATTGGTGCTTGACTCTTGACGATCGAAACGAGCGGTAGCTCATTGTTCGGCGAGTGTCAGGAGCACGCCGTACAACAAGCTCCCGTTTCCCCTAGTCACATCATAGCGAACTCACGACGTGCATCGGAAGTTTCATATTTCAGGAATAGGGGAGCTCTGCAATTGGTTGCTTTCCGCGAAGCGGAAAAATGCGCTAAAAAGAGCGGACAGACCTTTCAGACCGGGCTGTTCAAAATGGAGGCTTTGGCCAATCCTAATCCATATTCCCTACAAGGAGGCCACTCAAGAGGGCCTTTTGTGTAACGGGAATGACCCCCTATAAACCATCCGTCCTCTGGTGTCCTTTCTTCGGGAATCCCCAAAACCGGTTCATTCCCAACACCCGGGAGTCCGGTCCTTCCGGTTCTGAGCAGCAAGTTAAGAATTGTTTGAATCACCTTTGAACAGGCCAAGAGCAACTCCCCAAACCGAAGGGCTATCGTTTCATTCAAACGCCACGATCCCAGGGAAACGGAAGTTGTCTTGGCAAAGCCGACTCGGCTTTGGGCTCTACTAATATCAATATTGCGATGGGGTATATATATATATATATATGCATAAATGTGTCTCACAAATGCTGGCTTTCCCTTTGGTTTCCCTTTAAAACAAACCAACAAGGGGTATACTGGTATACACACCCATATATTGATGAATTAATTACTATAGCCTCAATTAAACCAGGTAGAACCACCGTCCAAATGGCCAATACAGAAACTGGATTTCCGGCTCGAAAGCTGATCACTTTACTGGTGGTTTCCATTGAAACGATCACGACTTCTGGAGGTTCCAAAAAGGGAAAGGCACGACACAAATGCAATACTGTTGGACCAACACCAGTCCTGATGGACCTTTTGTCCGCATTTGCATGAGGCTTCTCCCACCGTTTCATCCATTCCCCTGCCATCGAATCGGTAAAATCCGGGAAAACTCGCGGCGATCTGATCCCCTCGCCGGAAGTTTAGGGCTCCCGCTTGTCGAACGCCACGCCGTTGGTAACCGCCAGGGCATCCAAGGTGCGCCCGCCCTTGAGCAAGACCTGCGAGAAAGAGAATCCCCCGGGGTGGTTTGGGGGCTCGGAGGGCTTTGGGGCCAGTGACAATTTGAGAGTACTGTCTTTGAGGATTGTTAAAGCTCAGGAAGATTCGCTCCAGAGAGCGGTACTGTCCGAGGATACATTTCCTATTCCATCCTGTTGAACCATCCTTCGTTTGAATCATCGTTTACCCAGAGTTTTTGGGCAGTTTTCTGGAAAGAATCCTGTCACGGGGATGAATCCCCTAGCAATCCTCCCTCCTGATTATTTGTTCCACTCTTGGCGCAAAAGCCTAAACTGTTTGCGTGCCACTACAACAGTTTCCACTTGACAACAGTTGCCCCACATGTGCGTTGCTTCCTCCTACCATGTTCTACCAATAACCAAAGAAAGACTAAAGAAGCGCTTTGAGTCCATGCCTACTTCATAGGCTGTCTGCTTTGCAAAATGGTCTCCTTTAGTTTCAGAAGGGTACCTGGAGTGAGGGGCTAGCGGAGCACAACCCTCTCTTATCCACCCAATTTGTGTGATCAAGTCACAGAATAGGCATGCCATCTTTCATGCAGTCAAAAAGGCATGACAGGGGAACCAGATCTCAAACATGTTGAAACTGCCTGAAAACAGTGGGTCAAAGGGAGCTGACATAGAAAAGATACTATAGTGGCTAGAAAGTGGATACCACTAGTTCCCTTCAGTTGTGCTTAGGGCCAGTGGAAATCCTCAAAACGGCGCTGTTTGAAGGGCACCAGCATCAAGGCAACTACTTGTAGGGATGCATACCCAACCGCCAAAGCAGCAACCAACAGCATACTGTGGATGAACGAAACCCTGCACCACCTAAGAAACCCTGGAATGATGATTCCCCGTAAATACCAACAAACCCTGGTTTTGCTTGGTTTCAAAGCCGTGCAAGAATTCGTCCACAGTGTGCAACCAGGAAATTGGAAGGCAGCGCAGCGGTGCTACGTGCGACCCAAGCCTAGGGATAAGCCCACTGAGTAGTTGTCAACCGTGCCGACGGTGCATGCATATTTGCGGTTTCACGGCACACACGATTTTGAGAAAACCTATGGCTTTTCTTTGCTTTCCCTTCTCACTCCTCGAAAATTGATGCTAAATCTACAACCCGTTGAAAACAGTTCAAACTGTCAAACATGTGCTTGTTGTCTTTAGTCAAACGCGGCAGCTTCTAAACAGCCTTCCTCCTGCACAGCCCTGGGAGTTGATTTATGCCCAGCATCCTGGGAAAGCATCTGGATTGCAACCGCAGGGGTCGTGACCTTACCCGTTATGACGGTTCCTTTCTTCAGCAGTTCTTTCCGGTTGAGGAATCACCATTCACCCAGAATATACTTCACGCTGGCAGGATTCAGGCTGTCTTGCAGTGTTTGTTGAGCATGGACACAGTCGGTCCTTGCACTTTTGATAGTTGCTGGCGTGTACCGGCTTGCTTGCATATTTATCCATATGTTGCCTAATTTCCGTTGGCAACCCGCAAAATGTCCCGCCAAAACCAAAAAACGGACCCAAATTATCCACGTCTTGGGGAAGAGATCATACTGTCTGCGTGAGTTGACACCGGGACACCTGGAGTTTCCATCTTCAGGGGTCCCTTTTGGAGAAACAAGTGAGACGTCTGGAGAGGAATCGGAGCCAACCTCGCGCGGAAATTTCGGCTTTCCGTTCGGTTTCCCAATAAAATTGCCACCCCATGAGTGGCGTACCAATTAACAAAAACAGACACGTTAAGCGATCAAGCACCAGGAATAAAGACACGCCCAAACCAACATACAAAGAGCAAAACACATTGAACAAACAACTCAGATAAGCCAAAATCCGCCGGGGCCTCGCAGATTTGTCGTCTTGTTTTTCTCCCAATCGCCGACCGAGGCGCCCCATTGGCCGCCGCCACCGAAAGGCCGGAGACATAGACCAAGGGCGTAGCGAGAATAAGCCTCGATCGGTTCGAAATCGGTGAAGGAGAAATGGAATGAACCTGCTGTGGATGGACGAAATCCATTTCGCACCTGAGAAACTCTGGGAAACCATTGTTTGTTGGTATTTACAGGGGAAGCATCATTCCAGGGCTTCTAAAATGGTGCAGGATTTCGTTCATCCACAGTATGGAAACCCGGGGATTCCCGAATAAAGGAAACCAACTCGGATGGATGGTTTATAGGGGAATGAGAAATGGAATGACACATGGTGGGGAACCTCCTGAAAAACTTGCTGGCGCGAGAGGTAGAGAATGACCGAGACCGGGTGTTGGGCATGAATCGGTTTTGGGGATTCCCGAAGAAAGGAAACCAACTCGGATGGATGGTTTACAGGGGTCATTTCATTTATCAATTCCCTGATTATTGCACCAGCAACATGAGCATGGAGGGAGATGTTTGTGCCAATTCACAAAGGTGGGTCAATGCAGGGTGAAGATGGGTGGGTTGTTTTTTGGGACCCACAAAAAGTAGGTGGCGTGTTAGTTGCTCTAGGACACCAAAAGGGTAACCAGAAAAAGCCACATATGTCCATGTACTTACCCATCCCCTGGTGAATACATGGATAAGACGACACTGGTTCAGGCATGCGTCAGGACCAAGATCGTTTTTTTTTGTTGGGGGATTGTTGTGGGGAGGGAGGGATGCTAGCGTTCATGATCACTGAACAAACATATCTTCGCAATCACTGCATGACCGCAAGTAAAATAATGTTTTCTTCTGCAGCACGACCACTTCAGGATCACTGAACCAGCTGTGATATTTCTTGTCAGTGCTGACCCGTTCACGATCACTCAGCAAACACATGTTCTTCTTGCAGCGATGTCACAATCGCTGCTGGAGTGATCAATATGCTCAGGTTAGTGTTGCTTCCAACAAGTTGGGACTAACATTGGTCCCCGGTGTCCATTTGCAGACCCTCTGTTAACAATAATAATGATAATAATATTAATAATAATAATAATAACAATTAAAATAACAATAACAATAATAATAATAATAATAATAATAATAATAATAATAATAATAATAATAATAATAATAATAATAATAAATAATAATAATAATAATAATAATAATAATAATAATAATAATAATAATAATAATAATAATAATAACAATAACAATAACAATAATAACAATACTAATAATAACAATAATCACAATAATAACAATACCAATAAAACAACAAAATCATATAATACTAATAATAATAATGATATTAATAATAATAATACTAATAATAATACTAATAATAATCATAGTAATAATAAAAACAATAACACACATAATACTAATAATAATAATAATACAGACATGTGTTGGAGCTAAATCAAACTGGAAATGATCGCATCCGCCAATATTGCTCCCAACGCATGGCTTCATAAATCATGGTTGATGCCAGTTAGGGTGAGGGTCAGTACCCGCATATTCGGCCACCTCATGAACAGAAAGCAAAGTCAGTTGGTGCTTGCCCGCATCTTACCCCACATTGAGATGCGCAAAGCTATCCTGAAACACCTGCAAGTGGAAAACGGTCTTCTTCCGCGCGCTGCTTCTCGCCAAAGGAGCACTTTTAACAGGACAAATATTGTCAAGAGGTGGCCCTGGACGAGTGTACAGTATCAAGGTGAAAAGGACGCCTTTGCAACGAAAGTCCGTGTCACTTGGGTTTTTGGTTGCACCTCCGTCCTGACCAAAAGGGCTGGAACTCTCGACTCCGGGTGCCGAGCGCACAAGGCGAAGCCGTAATCAGCCACACCAACGCGCGGTACATGGACCTGTCGACAGATCCGCCGGAGCCAGCGGTCCAAACCACCCAATGGGTTGCCGATGCAAAACAGCGCATGTGGTGCGTCAGATGTAACCATGCGCATTTGCGTATTTACCTAAAATAAATAAATAAATAAATCAATACATATATATATATACACATGAATGTACATATATATATATATATATATATTGCAAACCTAGGGGTCACCAACCTGGACGTGGTTGACATTCAGTTGTCCGGCTTCCCGCAGTCGATTTGGCCCGTCGAGACGGAGCCCTGGAAACGCCCGGGTTCCGGAGCCCGAAGCCGCGGAGCTGACTACTTGGAGGTGCGCTTCGAGGGAAGTCGTTGGCCATGGGGGGAATAACTGGGCTTCCCTCCAATGGTTTCGATGGGTGGTTTGGTGGTTTGAGGGCTGCCCATCTACAAATCCCCGAACCACCAATCCAAACCACTAAAGCAAGGGTAGCTTGAATAACCCCATTTTGACAAGGTTAACCCCACTTAGGGGGACTTAGAAATGGGTTCTAGCCTAGGTTACAACAACTTGCGGGCATTTGGGAGACTCCGAAGCTTGAGGTGTCGCTAGGCCAAAACAAGGAGTGCTGAACTGCACAAACCCGTATGGGCTTGCAAATAATTTCCTTTTTTTGCAGGCCCCTACCAAAAACGAGGAACCACAAAACAACAAACTTGCAGGCCCCTACCAAGAAATGAACAGACCCCCCCAACAACAAAAAACTTGCCAGCAACAGCGAAGTACATACAAAAAACCTCCAGTACGTCCAGTATGGGCCTGGGAAACAAGAGGGCCTGGCAGATGCTGGCCGCATGAGTCTGCCAGTTGTTCGATCCCACACCCCCAAGCCGCAAGTGGTGGGTGAGAGATGGAAGCCACCCCATTTTGTGACTTTGACAACCCAGAACCCGGCAATGGCGTGACCTCAGCATCCATGTTTGCCCAAGCCCCCTGGAAAAAAACAACAACATCGTTCCAGTAGTGCAATTGATCCCCTTGAAACCGAATAAAACAGATCAATTTTAGCCAATGGACCTTAGTGAGAATCAGATCCCTACGGCGAAAGTGACCGACCCTTCGCTGGGCCCCATCACGGCCCGATGGCCGCCCGCCACAGCAACGGAGGTGCTGCCTCAGTTGCGAGCCCCACACAAAACGGTGAAACACAGCGCGCAATCGAAAGAAACGACAAAGGATCGCATTGAAATACCGTGTTTGACCAACTTTAGAGGCACAAGGAAGTAAGAATAAGAGTAGTCTTTTTCAAAAAACCAACACAGGTGTCAGAGCATATTGGCCATGTGGTGTGGCGTACAAGTATCATGTCCGGCAATGGACGATATCCGGGAACCTCCTCCCTTCCAAGTCATGTGGAACCCGGAAGGGTGGTACGAACGTGTGCCTGTTCTTCAAGTTTGCCAGAATGTCAGCCTTGAATGCAACCTATCGAGCTTTTCTGAGACCATTTTCTGAGCATGGGCCGACCTGCCATTCAGAATCTTGGGATCCAGGAACGATGATGCTGTGGATGGCCGAAATCCTGCACCACCTAAGCAAACCCTGGAATTATTAAATTCCCGTATAAAAACCAACAAATGCTATGGTTTCGCTTGGTTTCATTTCATCGCTGCTACCAACAGTGCCTTGATTTGAAAGCCTTCGCATATGAATCGATCGACTTGCTCGGCTCCCGAAATCGGGCGAATGGCGGAAGACCTGTGCGGCCTTGTGGTTGAAAACTCTGCAAAGGTGCCTTTCGCGCCATAGACCCAATCTAAGCTTAGTGCGCGGGTGCGTTTTTTCTTAGGCAACCCCCAAAGTTGGTGGTTGTATTTGTGTTTCCCCTTCAAAACCATCCAACAATGGGTTCTCCCCAAAAAACACACACACACACCTGTGTCTGCAAGGATCATGTCCCATGTCAAAGACTTTCAGAGTATGGTGAGGTACACCCGCAAATCCTCCTGTCAATGATGCGCCCGGCTTGTTGTGTCTTCCTGATGCCAAGAGAAATACTAATGTCAAATCATGATCCGAGCAAGCGCTTGCAAACTGGCACGATGTCAAGCCGTTCAAGGAGCAGGAAAATATCAGCCTGCGTCTTTTCGGTGAATCCCGGAACCGAGAGAAAAACAAAAAAGAACAGCTAGAAAAGTCGTCGACTAAACGTACGTCCGGCGGCTGGCGCAGCCTGTGTGGCTCACCGCACTGGCCGTTGAAGAAATTGCCCTAGCCGCCCATTCCCGACCACCAAAAGACGTAAAGCAAAAAACTGGGACTGCGTCAAACGGGGTCTACCCTTTCTGCTTTGAGACCTAAGCCTCGCGCAAAGAAATAGCGGGGACAAAGCACCCACATGAGTCCCTTAACCCTAAGCCTTTGGGGGTTTGCCGTCAGAAAAGTCAATGCAAACAAAGCGCCCAACTGGATCAAAGGCAGCTTTTAGGCTTCCTTTAAATTTAAACCAGGGCCCTTGTCCAGTCTGGTGCAAGGCTTCCGCGGAACTCTGGCACACCTCCTTGGCCACCCGGCTCCGATGATCAGAGTGCTCACCACCACCGCAAAGGACCAACCTATGCCAAAAGCTCGTGTTGCACAGGGTGCACCGCAGGTCCAACTCGAACATTCCCAAGAACAAAAACGGATTCAAGGTCTAAATGGCGAAGTGGGAAACCGCGTGAAAGGGAAAAAGTCACGTGAAGGGAACTACACATAGATATATCAACATAATATCTATATATATAGGTGCTTTTACATATATACATATAATACATATAATACATATAATACATATAATACACATATGGACAGAACCAATGTGCAGCAAGCAAGAACTACAGGACGAAACATCTAAAACCGCCAGCATCGACGACAAGCAAACTCGCAGAAAAGGCAAGCGTGGCTTGACACCCACCATCAACACTGCGTGTGTGGGTGATCAATCATCTAGTGTCCTTTCTGCGGGTCTCCAGGCCGGCTGTGTGTCCCTATTTAGAGGGCTCAACAATGCCGAAACATGGTTGAGAGGTTGTTCACAAAACTGGGGGTCTTGCAAGTTGCTTCGCTTTCAAGCAGTGTGTTGTGGGTAGTATCCTCCCACTTCCTTTCAATGGTTCCAGGATTTGTTGTGAGGGGTGGGGTGGGGTGATTCCGATGATTCTCGGAGACCCTGGCAGACAATCGGATCGGGGGGGGGGCATTTTTGAGGCAGCACACCAAAGAACCATGGGTTTCAAGAGTGGAATCGACTAGATAGACGTTCTTAGGCTTAACAAGTTCTGCAAGCAAGTGCGAGTGCGAAAGGGGATGACTGAAATCATGGGTAGGAATATTGTACCATCTATTTGCACCTAGCGCTTGATCCCTTGCGAAAGTACGTCCTGAGTCGCAGGCGGTCGGCAATAGCATCCACCAAGGTCACCAGCTTGGGCCGACTGGCCTCCGTTCGGGTCACTGCCCAAGCCATGGCCCTTGAGATGGAAAGCTCGAGCTTCGCAACCTCTAGGTCCTCCAGTAGACAGATTAGAATCAGGGTGCCATGTTTTTCTGGTTTGTCTGTTTTAGTAGGGGAACCCTCCCAACCAAAAAGTTGGTAAAAGGGCACTACTCAAAAAACCTAGTCCTATTCAAGCTTCGTGTCAACCCCCGCGATCAAGAATTGTGAATCGAGCCATGAGACAAATAATTGCACGGCAACTTCTCTTGCTAGGCCCTTCAATGAATCCTGGGTGGCACGCATCCTACTGTACTGGACAAGACCTTCCGTAAGCGTGAGACCGCAAATGGGATTTCACGACCGAGGCGACAGCAAAGGTTGTGGTGAGCCAACTGAACCGTGGAAGTCACCATAGCCAGATCTTGTGCGGAGACATGTTCATCACATCCAAACTACTGAGTCCCCGCATCTGTCCCAATGTCGGGAGGTTTTGTTTGGTTCTTGGAATTTGAGCTCCCCACAGAGCCATAACACAGTTGCCCAAAGCACGCATCAATGAAATGTTAGCCTTTTGGCACCACAACTAAAATTGACCAAAAGTGGAAAGCCGAAGGGTCGCAAAAGGTCAGCTTTGGACAAGTGAGATGGTTTTGGCTTGAAAGAAAGAGCTTCAAAAGTAAGGATACGGCCCAATGCGTCTTTGTGATCTAAGCCGAGTGGCAATCATTCATTTCCTCCCCTTACCCATATGGCACGGTTTGATAGGACCAATCACAAAGTAGCCACCAAAAACTGACAGAGGCCTACCCAAAACCGACGGCGAGTTTCTCAGGCGACCGCCTTGGTGAGATGTTTGCCAACGCGAAGCGAAACGTGTTTTCTAGGTTTTCTGGTTTGTGGGGCAGGGGAAACGCAAACAGTTTTGCAGAACAAATAAAGGTTGAACATCCTTGCCAACAAGTTGCACTTTCTCAAAGTCTCAAAAGGCTCGCGGAAGAATGCAGTGGATCCATTTGCACCAGATTGAAACCATGGTTGATACCATAGGTTGTTGATATTACATTGAAATCGAACATCCTTCCGTTGGGTGTCTCAACGTTGCGCGAAGCGGATTTCGCCAATCCATCCAATCCGTACCATGCCTTGGCGCCCGAAGTGAGCTTTGCAAGGCCTCAGGAAGGGGGTCAAGACACGGCGTGAACCGGAACCGACCGCCGGTTTTAGGACCGGGGTTCATCCACATGTTCAGGGCAAGGCCGGGGTCCAATGCTCTTGCCCAAAATGAAGGTGTGACAGTTTCCCAAAGCGGCTCTATATGGGTGGCTCGTCTTTTGTTAGGGGACCCCCCAAAAAGGTGTTGTGTTTTTTTCTTCTTTGTTTTTCCCTTGAAAAGCCACCCTCCACAAAAAGGGGCAGCCCTGAAAAATGATTTCCGCCTTATGGCCCCATGGAGTATCTCCGTTTCGCTTCAGGATCTGCGTCTTTCGTTTCCACCGTTTCGCTGCAGGATGTGTGTCTTTCGATTCCACCTCCAGTTGTTTTTCCCGAATTTGCGGCGGTCTCTCGTTTTCTCTGTTCCAAAGAATCCAAAGTTTGTGTCTCAGGGTTGTCCACTGGTCAGAAAAATGCGGACTGGCGGTGATCGATCGCAACCCGCCGCGTGGCTTCCCACGAGCTCTTGCCTTTCCGTTGGTCTCGAGGCAAGAAACGAGCCCAGTTGCGAAGAGGCCACTTCCAGTACATGTAGACTGCCTTTGTTTAACGGAGACAACGCGTATTCAGTTCAGCAACTGGAAGTAGCCTCAAGGGGAAACCTATCCCATAGGGTCCCTACCTTGCGACGTTCTTACCTTTTCCGAGCTTCAAGCCCTCAAGTACATCCTCAGAAGGTATACGCTAGTGGTTATACATGAATGGGTTATACAAAGTACCCCCAAACACCATCCGGAGTGTGCCATGTCGATTTGGGCGCTGAACATAATTTAAGGAACCTTAAGGGTACTCGGTTGCTTTCTGCTCCTTTGCTACAAGTTTTTAACTTTTAGTGGTTTAATGGAAAACCCATTCGTTGGCAAAAAGTAAAAATCCTGACATCCAAGCACAATGCACCAAAGAAATGCCAGGGTGTCAGCTTGTTTTGGGTAACCTGGACACCCAATGGGACCCTGTTACTGGCCACTGGCCTCCACGTTACCTGTCCATTCGGGCGTAACCCTTGCATTATCAGACTCCCCAGCGACGGACCGACGGAACTCTAACCCCGGAAACCGGGGCTCTCCGGCGCTGCAGCGTGGACTCTCCGGCTTCTCGCTGAACCTGGCGCTCGCGGTTTTTTTCCCCTTCCGCCGTGTTTTCAGGGCGTGGATACCCTTTCGGAGGTGGGTTTCAAAGGGAATCAAAAGGGCAAACCAGCATTCCGGGAAGACCAATTTTGTGCAAATTCACAAATTGGTGAACATGTTTTAAAGTACGTGGACATATTTGTGTTGTTGGATGGATTGCAGGTATTTGCGGGTTTGATGGTTTTGGGCTCAGGCTTTATATTGGTTGGTTGCTTTCTTTTCGGGGTACGAGTAGTTTCTGCAAATGTTACCCGACACTGAAATTATGGGATCCCCCCAAAAACGAACCACGAAGATTGAATCGCAATGCTTGCAATTTTCGCTACTCATGGCTTCAAACACAGCGGACCCGCGACGCGAGAATGCTCGGTATCCGTTTGGATGTGTCTTTTGAGTGTACCCATTTTGGGGTGGCTTAAAACCAAATGGACAACCGAAGCCATTTTGGGGGTCGCAACAAAAATGACAAAGCCATTTGGCTTCCCTTCTCACAGACGGCAAATGGTCGAAGGACACCACAGTGCAATGCTCATCGTGACCCGATCACCTTGGTATCGCAGAAGGTGGCTCTAAGGCCCGCATGTGTCGTGCAGCAGTACACTGGATTTATCTCACTTGTGGAAGCCAAGTCATCCTGTTGGGTCTGAAGCTTCCTAACTTGTGGGGTAAATGGAAGTCCCCACCAAAGACGAAAAAACCTAAATACTGAAGGGGATGGCTGGGAGCACCAAGCTATAACTGCTAACCAGCTGCAGGAACCCAAATAAAGTTTCCATTCTGCACAGCTTTTTAGGCGTGAGCAAGCCCTGGAAAGTATGTTCGCTTTCCTTACCTGCATATCCCAAAGTGTGTGAGGTGTCTCCCTTTTGACAGAACACAGTCTTTTCAGTCTGGGAACAGGTATTGCTGCCCTCGAGGCGTTTTTGGAGAACAAACTTTTTACAAGGTCAAGCTGGTCAACTGATTATCGCTAATGGCGCTTTCGGCAATAAAACTTTGTTTTGTTGGCAATCACACGGCCGCGATTGAAGTTCATAAGTTCTTGAATATTCACAAATTGCTGCAACGGCCTTTTTGGGGGACCAAACGCGTTTACTTGCAGCAACGGCCAAAATTAGTGCCGTGTCAAGCGGCGCTTTCCAGGCATTGCAATGGCACTTGCACAATCAACATGTTGGTCTAATCTCGAAATTCACTGTTTCTATAACACCGGTCAACTGCCTAGATCCGCAGAAAGCAGCGGAGCTAGTGGGGTCAGGTTTGACAGTTAGTTTTGCATCACTTCTTGCTTAAAACCGCTCCTGAAGCTTTCAAGACATATCTGATTGAATCCTAGCGGTACGCAAGGGATCAGGACCTATTCTCTTCACAAGCTCCTGTGTGTGACATCGCCGAAGCACAATGTTGAAATCAAATCTCAGCTTTGTTTCACCTTGCAATCTCGCTCAAGTCCAAGAGAGGTTCGAAGGTGCGGTCCAGTTGGCCCCAGCAAAAAACAACGCAGCGCCATCACCATCGCTTTCTAGGTCCTCCAGTAGAGAGGTTAGAATAAGGGTACCCTTTTTTCTGTAGTCTATTTTAGAAGGGGAACCCTCCCCCAAAAACGGGTGAGAAAGGGCACCTAGTCGCTTTCTTGTTCCACACGAACCAGCGCTCACTGACTATGGTCATCTCAATTCACTCTCGCCTCGATGAGCATCGCGCCATCAATGTTCACCGCCTGAGCCACGAACGCCGACTCGCCCGCGCTACTGTACGCACCACGCGGTTTCACGCACCCCACATACCTGTGCACCACACATATATACAGACACCGCACACATCTACACACACGTGGGCGAACAAAACACGGACGCAACACACACAACACAACACCAAGCGCCACACTGCACCATGTCACACCACACCACTGCATTCCACACCAATCCGAAGCGCACCACTAGGACGCAAAACGCAACACGCACACAAAAACTACACAACACAACACAACCCAACACGAAACGACACGACACAACACCACACCACACCACGCCACTCCACACCACAATGCGTGAGTCACAAAATAAACAAACAACACAGCACAGCATTCCAAACACACAGACGAGCACAATGGCGCACGCGCACATGCGCGCACACTCGCAAGCACACGCGCGCGCCCGCCCGACCGCCCGCTCGGAATCCATCCACACCACAAACCCAGTGACGGGAAACCCTGTGGTGGACACCATGTAGGGGATTTATGTCCACGAATGGTCCGTATCGAAATTCCCAGGGCAACGGTTCTTGGTGAGGCGAGCGGTCTGAGCCCTCCCGGCGCCAGACGTCACGGCATCTCCCGGAGACACCTCCTGGAAGCTCGGTGAAAGGCGGCGAGGCGGTGAATTCTCATAGATGGACCCGGTTTCTGGTTGGGAAGCTGTGGACATCAAAATTCGGGGGTAAGTTCAGTTCCACCCACTTGAAAGAGGGCATTCCTCATAGCGAATACACATTCAACTGCAGAGGTGCTCCCAACTGGCAGGCTATGCTCTCAGTGGTCTGCCACAGGAATTCATCAACGCACAGTGTGCAGCACCGGAGTTGATGCCGACAATGCGTTGCAACGCCTGACTCGGTCAGCCAGGAGTATCAGGTCTCCAGTTGGATCACAGTACCCCGGCAGCCAAATGATCTCTAAAGTCAAACTCGATGATGCTTGGACCACAGTGAAAAACTTCAAGCAGCCAGCTCTTTGCACAACTTGCCTAAGGGAAGAGGTTAGACGTGAGAATTCGCACAAGCAAACCGATTTGTTGTTACACAAAACCAACCAACCAACCAACCAACCAACCAACCAGCCAACCAACCAACCAACCAACAAACAAACAAGCAAACAAACAAGCAAGCAAACAAGCAAGCAAACAAACAAACGAAAACACACAGGCAACCGAACGAACGAACGAGCAAACAAGCAAACAAAAACAAACAAACAAACAAACAAACAAACAAACAAACAACGCTCAGACGTCCTGTAAACGCGCGTTTTGTTTCCGTTCTTTCCCCCCTGTAATGGCGGCAAAAACGCGCAAATCATATGGTTTTTCACAGGTTTCGAGCAAGTCCAGCAAAGGGTGGGCCGGATGTCCGAGTGGAACTGCAAGAGCACGGCCTATCCTTAGGTGACTCCAAATCAACACCTGTTATTTAAATGGTCGCACTCCCAGAACCATGTACAGAATTAAAAAGGCTGACACCCCCACCCATTAAATTTGTTGGCATTATCCCTTAACTTTCTTCTACCCGGGTTTCGAGCAAGTTGGTCAAGTGCCTCTCTGGCAAGCAAAGATGGTGCCGGCTCAGGGCGCCTGAAACCATCCCATCGTTCATGCAAACTGATCAAAAAGAGCACCCAGGCATGTACCTGCATTTTCAACTTCGCATTCAAGCATTGTCTTCATCAAAATTGCACCAGTCCTTGGGACTGAAGCCCAGAGCGTTCTTTCGCTCATTTCGGTAGCGAGCGAAGCACTGCAAAAGAGGCACCAAGCCAGGCTTGTCATGGAGCCGTTTCGTGGCGAACTGGATGATGTGGCTTCTCTTGGGCGCCACGCGTCCTACTGCATTGACTCTGCGCATGCCGCGTTTCACGCGGGAAATCTGGGATTCGCAGCCTTTGTCCCCACCAAGAACCTGAAAGGTACGTGCAAATGAACGGGTGTTCTTACCATTTGGCTCTTACCATTTGGCTGGCATGGATGCAGTGCTGCGCGGGTGCACTTGAACGGGTGTTCTTACCATTTGGCTGGCATGGATGCAGTGCTGCGCGGGTGCACTTGAACGGGTGTTCTTACCATTTGGCTGGCATGGATGCAGTGCTGCGCGGGTGCACTTGAACGGGTGTTCTTACCATTTGGCTGGCATGGATGCAGTGCTGCGCGGGTGCACTTGAACGGGTGTTCTTACCATTTGGCTGGCATGGATTCCGTGCTGCGCGGGTGCACTTGAACGGGTGTTCTTACCATTTGGCTGGCATGGATGCAGTGCCGCGCGGGTGCACTTGAACGGGTGTTCTTACCATTTGGCTGGCATGGATGCAGTGCTGCGCGGGTGCACTTGAGTGGGCGTGCCTATCGTGAGTGTGAATTTCCATATAATTCCCGCGTTTTACGTGGTAGTGGCCGGACATGCACGAAACCTGTGAAAAAACCATATGATTTGCGCGTTTTTGCGGCCATTACAGGGGGGAAAGAACCAAAAAAAGCGCGCGTTTACAGGACGACCGAGCCACAAACAAACAAACAAACAAACAAACAAACAAACAATCAAACAAACAAACAAACAAACAAACAAACAAACAAAACACAACCAACCAACCAACCAACCAACCAGAAAGAAATAAAGACAGACGCAGAAACCAAACAAATGAAACAAACCAGCACAACACACAAAGAAACAAGCAAACAACTAATAGGTTCTTGCCCCCCGACCAAAGGGATGTCTGCCTTGCCACAACGTCCTGCGGAGCCGGCTCCCCAGTCAAGTGGCTCAAGCCTCAAGCGCGACGGGCCGATCTGAGCCCGAGAGGCGAGTTGGGTGGACCTGGGAAGTTCATTCGCCCAACCGGTTTTTGTGGAGCCCCCTCCTCAGATCAGTGACCCTTTTGGGGCTTGGACCGAATTTTTAGTGCCAACAAAGAAAAAGTTGGAAAAAGAAAAAGAATGGGTGTTACTGAACAACTGAGGATTTGGGTGGACCAATTTTCGGGTCGGGTTGACCATTCTGGGGTTGAACAGTGTTGGGGTTGACAATCTGTTTGGGCTGACCAATTTGGTGATAGTGATACTAGATTTGGTGCGAACGGACTTCGCAACCATCCACAGTAGTGCATTTGACTTGACCATTTTCGGGTCGGATTGACCAGTTTTCGCAGTTTTGGGGTTCACCAACGTAGGCCATTTTGGGGTCGCTCAAGTGTTGCGTCTGCCCACTGTGGGGTTCACCATGTGACCAGTTGGGTTAAGTGGCTTGAGGCTGACAGTCTGGTGCTTGAGCTTTTTTGCGGTAAGGGCAGCCGACCGAACTGGGCCAAACAAGGCATCGCATGGCAAAAACGCGCGGCCGCTCTGGCAAACGTCCTGACGCTCTGGTTGCCATGCTTGAAGTCTCTTGGTGCACCACAAGCAACCTAGACTTGGGCTCTGGACTGATCGGGATGAATTATGATAACTCACCTCTAAAAAACTTCCAAGTCGCATGGGTGAGGTTGCAACCGCCTGAACATGCGGTTTCTAGAACATCTAGGTGTGGGTCAAAATTAAACCACCAGGGGACCACAGGTTTTGGTCCATGTTGCCACTTACCAGGGTTCCATTTTGGGGTTACCCTATTTTTGACCCACAGCCATCTGACGACAACTTCCGACACAAAGTTCCCTGAGTCTCAGCCAAGGCCAGCGCCAAGCTGTGAGTAGCCATCTAGAATGCGGCCGTCCACGGGAATCACCTCGAGTTCGCCCAACTGGATAAACCTTTTAAAGTCGCTTTCTTGGGAAACCAAAGCAAAAATCCACACATCGTTGAGGTTCCGGCCTTCAAACCTTTGCATATCGCCCTTAATGCACTTTTGCCCCAAAGTCTTCGGTGCAAATCGCACCCTTCAAAACGACCACAAAACCAACTCATGGTGCACCCTCCCAGACCAAAGTCCCAGTCAACATGTCTCGATCCCTGTGCCTCGCCGGCACGGACAAAGATCCGGTCTCGAGCACGAAGCTCTGTCACATTCACCTGGCAACCCAAGGCCAGAAGACCCATAGACGAACAACTACCCACGACTCAAAGGAAAAACCGACGACTTAGCGCGACTTAGACCCCCTGGCACAAAATATGTTGGTAAGGGAAGAAAGACGAATCCAAGGCAACTGATACATCTGCCAACTGATACATCTGGTATTCCTTACCATTTGGCCTTGTTGCAAGGGTAAGCCTTTGGTCCGGCACTTGATACATCTGTCTATGGCAAGGTCGAAAATCTTAACGGGAACGGTTTGCTTTAATTGGACTTTCGATGCTTCAAATCGCGTTGCAACACCTCAATGCCGCACACCTCATATGGGCGGCTCCTCTTATCCCCCACAAAATGGTGGGTCTTCTTGTGGTTTGCTTCTAGCACCGCAAACACGGGGTGCCCTGTAAATTACTCGCACAGTTGCAAAGCGTCAATCACGTCCAATCCTCCTTACCCCGAATGCCCCAAAATAAGCCATGCACCGCGCTTGTCGCGACTCATGATCCGACAGCGCCATGAAAGTCAACAGCCTCGCGTCACTCTCGCCAAAAACAAACTGACACTGGCGCGGGGCAATCTGGGTGCATGAGCCCTGTCAATACCCTTTATTGCCGACAAGGACCTGGGAAATTGGGCTTTCGCATTCTTGGTTTTTGTAGGTTGGGTCGCCGCGTGTCCTGCCCAAACCAACAAACATCCCCAGGTGATGTCTAGAACGCTCGAGAAGTCAATCTAAAGGAGGCCATAGCAGCATCCCCAACTCAACCGGGGCAAACGTGGGACCCGCCGCTGCCCCAGTCTCGACAGGACCCGCCTCGCGCCCTCCCTCAGCGTCTGCAATGCTCTGGACATCGCCGGGCACACGCCGCACTTGCTCTGGACCTGCGACTCACAGGCTTCGGCTCCCACACTTTCGGGGCTGGATCTTGTTCGTTCTCAGTAAGAACCTAGCTACTATACCTCCTTCTCTCAGGCATGGTGGGGTTGCGACCTGTTCTCTCTCAGGTTCCGCCTCCGTCTCATGGTATGTGTTCATGGTATCTGTGTTTTAGACGAACTTCGCAAGACCCAATGCAATTGTCCACTGTTTCGCGATACGGGTAGCACCTGGTGACTAAACTCAGTGCACAAGCGGCTAAGACCAAAAGTGAATGCGGCTGTAAGTCAAAGAGTTAAGCAGGGATCCTTACATCATACACCTGAACATTGCCTTGTAAATGGAGGTTCCCCTTTCTTTTGGTGGACAAAGCCATGTTTCTGGGCAACGTGTATCTTTTTTTAAGGAGCCCTGCTCAGTGGTTGGTGAAAGGGTCAACATGTTGTAGAACACCACGAGGACGTCCTCTTGAGGACGCCCCGAAAAGTAAGCTGCCGCCCGGCCAGAATGAAAAATCGACCACCGGGAAGTCGCAACCCGCTTTCTGCCGGGCGAAACGCGAAGCCAGCGGCATGCGGAGCCAACATTGGCCGGGCTCAAAGGTTCAAGAGCAGAGTAATGTTGACCCCGGATTACTTTTACCCCCCCCCCCCTTATCAATAAAAGGTGGGGCCTCCCCAAGAGTGACAAAAAACAAAAGCACCCCCCATATTGATGAAAAGGTGTTTATTCATCCGGGGTCAACATTGTCAATGAAGCCATGAAGATCACTCAAGCTTGTCAGGGGGAAACCCAAGCAAGCCCTCTAGAACAGAGTCCAATACCTAAAGCTCACCTGCCTAACAGGGTGAACCTCATAGGCCCATGACTCGGTCGACCAAACCTGCGAAACCAGAAGCTCATCGGTCGAGTCGCGTGTCTGGTCAGCAGGCTGTTTCGCTTTAAATATATATATATATACATATACATACCTAGATCTTCTTTGAGAACAATTTCCCAACATTTTCCTTAAAAAGCAAAAAAAACGCGCATTGTTGGAAAACACGCTCATTTACCCAAAACACACACATTTCGGTTCGACCAGCCATGTTCAAAACAAGTTGGTTTTGGGCTTTCCGCCGATTTCCGCGCATTTTCCGCCGATTTCCGCGCATTGTCCGCCGATTTCCGCGCATTTTCCGCCGATTTCCGCGCATTTCTGGTGGCCAAGTTTGCAGGATTTGCCACAAAATGGGTGCGGAACATTAAATTTGCAGTTTCCGCGTAGATTTCGGAAATTCCGCTCAATTGGCAAAATGAGCAAAAATAACGTAATGAGCAAAAAAATGTTCCTTTTTGAGGGTCCAGGTATATATATATATATATGCATTTTAACCACTCTGCATTTGAGGGGACCCTGAGTCGCATTCCTCCAAACACAAAGCCGAAACCTTTCAGAGCAAATTTTAATTTTCTGCTGAGGCCGAAGCATAAGCTGCCAAGAGCGTCCAGGGATTTCCTCGCCCTCATCGAGAGCTTCTCCTGCGATGTCGCAACGATTTCGCGGCTCAGGTGACACGAGGATCTGGCACCGCCATCCGCACAGACACAGTCACATTAACTAGGTCCTCCAGATTTGAGAGGTTAGAATAAGGGTACCCTATTTTTTTTCTGTAGTCTATTTTAGTCGGGGAACCCCCCCCAAAAAAGGGTAAAGGGGCACTACTGGGGGACCTAGTGAGAATAGTGGAGTCTGGTCAGCAATACGGCGCGCACAGCCAAGCCCAAGAGAGAAGGTGGCACCGGAGCTTCAAAAGTCCGCGACAGAACGACACAAGGGGTTGTTCACTGAGATGGCCGTTTTGCTTCCAAGGCTGATTGGACATGTACCCTTGGTCAGCCCTTGTTTCATGCTTATCCTCCAAAGGCTGAATTCTAGGTTCAGCCTGACCATGGGTTCACAGGGTCTAGGCAAACGTGAGCTGCTTCCAACGGATGGTTTGGTGGGGGCTCCAAAAAGGGCTAGTGTTGACCCTGGAATAATAAACCCCTGTTTGTTCACATGGGGGTGCCCTTGGTGTGGATTCATCACTTTTGGAGGGCCCCCACCCCCTATTGATAAACATGGGCTTGGTCCTCCGGGGTCAACATCATTACCCCCCCTTTCATGGAGTCGCGAAATTTCGCAAACAAAGTCTCCGAGTGCATGTGCCAAAGCAAACGGAAACCCCCGCAGTGGCCAGTGCCCTTTTCTGAACGTGGAAACCAACGGAGTTTACAAAAACATGCCCAATACCCAAGAAGTGATCAACCAATTGTTGGAGTTCCGGGCTGATTTGTGGCTATGGTGTTTCCGTGTGTGGGCAAGTCCGAAGCAAAAGCACCGCAACTAGCCAAAAGTCAGCCAAGAATGCCTAAACAAATAGGTCAAACATCTATTTTTTCCGGAATTTTGTGAAGATGCCTCTTGTTAGGTGTTTGTAGGGTGGCGTTATCATTTTTGAGTAGGAGCCTGAACTCATCCGAAAGTGCCGATTGTTTTGGGCGCTGACGCAGCTTTCAGTTTTGGCCGATGCACTGGTCGTAGATCTGCGCCGATTCACGAGTTTGCCCGAGCTGCGTTTGGAAATGGCCAGGTGTCTCAACATTGCCATAGTGTGAAACCTGTGTCAACGCTTTTGGAGTGCGTGAAGGAAACGGCATCAAATGCACGTAGAGAGAGTCACCTTTCAGCCGTGCTGAGGAAAAGTATAAGCGACCAAGTGTGCAGCGCTCGAACTTGGACGATGCATGTAGTGCCATGGTTTGGCCCCCTCTCCGTGCATCCCACAAGAAACTGCACCCTCTTAAGCTAGACCTTATCTACAGTTTGTGAAATGCTATGTGTTTTGCATTCGTTTGTAAGATCTATCTTTTTGCACCTCTTGGTTGAAATTGGAAGGGGAGCAAAGATTTAAATTTTAGCTGTCAAGTGGCTGGATTTCAACCACTAAACCACAACAAGCAAAGATGGGTCCCAACAACAACTCGGTTGCTTTCTGCTCCCCAGCTAAAAGTTTAACTTTTAGTGGTTTGATGGAAAACCCATGAGTTGGCAAAAAGTTAAAGTCCTAACATCCAAGCAAAATGCACCAAAGACAACCATGATCTGGTCTTTTCCCTTGCCCGGTTTTCCCCAAGCCAACTCATCCCATCAGCATCCCAGCGAATTGGGCCACTGCCAAGCCGCGTCGGGTGTCGTCTATGAAAACTAAATCGAAGATAGAGCCTGGAAAACCACGTGGAATCTTTGGGGGGGCCGGGGGGGGCTATCCCTGGATAAGCCCAGGATAACCCAACAACCCTTAAGGCCTTAAGGGCTTAAGGGCTTAAGGGATAGCCCCTTGGCCCCCCTTGCGGGTCCATGAAAACCACCTTCTTGGTGGTGCCAGACTCATGCCTCAGGCTTCCAACAACTTTGCTTGCGAGACCCCTCTGCAAACAAGTTGAGCTTTCTGCGGGTCCAATGGAAAATCCACTGCTTTCCAGAAAGTTCAACTCCAAAGATCACACCAAATAGCTGTGAAGAAAAGGGCCCGGTGTTTCTGTCTTTTGAACCGCGCGCCATGTCCCCGTGAAACAAACACCCGGACCATTTGCAATGAACTCTGTGCATAGTCAGAATACAGGGTACATTAACTCATGGTGAGATGGTCTGAGTAGGCACATGAAATAGGAAGCCTACACAGTGGGATATATGTAACCCACAATACATGGTGCTTTCAACTCACTTCGGACCAAGAAACTAATAATGCTGATTTTGCCTGGGTTGTCTAAGGTCAACCATCTGATCAAACAAGAAGTTGATGCTAGCCAGTTCTGATAAGGGCCATCTCTGCACCATTCCTGTTCTGCCCGAAGCGTGGGCCTCTTGCCGGTGTCTTGGAACATTACCTTGTGGTCTCATGGAATGAAGAAACAAAGCACAACTGTCCATGGAACCCGCGACTCCTGGTCTGGCACGCACCGCAAATTCAGTCTTCAAATCCTTCAGTGGGGCGTTGGCAAGGCTGCACGCCTTTGTCTTCACTGGCAGCTCTGCATTTCTATCAACTTTGGATGTCGCTTCGCAGCCAGCCGACTGTGTCCATGGTGCCCGTATGTGCCCGTTTTTGCAAAAGGAAGACATAGGACCTGGTCGTCTTTGAGGGTTCCCCATCTGAGGCAGACCCTGCTTATCCTGCAACATTACTTCGTGCGTTGTGCTTGACCGAAGGCGTAATTACTGGTATAGACACCCTTCCGCCATGGAAACTGACAGAAGGTGCCCTTTTGAATGTAAAGCCAAAGCCCATTCGTAGGCCAGAAGAGCCTCTTCAATGTGCGAAGCAGATGCTCAATAGTCTTGACTGAACAAGAGAGGCGCAACGCCACCAGCCATGCACTACACACATTTCGTGGCGGATATGTGAGCTATGGCTTCCTGTTTGGCAGTTGTGACAGCAAATTCCGAATTGACAAATCCCACGGACCATGTTCGCACTTGTGTTTGCATTCCATGCTACAGGGGTTGCCCAAGTGGAACACACCCGAATTGACGCCTTCTCACGGCTCCCAATCTCGGCTCAAGCATCGAGGAATTTCCATTCGGCTCACAAGCCCAGGCCAAGCTCCGCCGTCCAGGTGGATAACTTGGCGATCCTCGGCTCTTTGAAAAATTAACACGACCTCCTGAGCCCCGAAGTCTTCGGTAGGGGGCCCGGTGTCTCATGTACCAACTCTACATTCAAGCCCCCAAACTCCAAGAACCCTCCAAGATATCTTTTGAGCATACCCCACACCCGAAGTGAAAGCAATTATCATCATGGGGTTCGGGTATGCTCAAAAGCTATGTTGGAGGCTTCTTGGACAAACCCATCCACCAAACCTGGCGGGCTACCGGAAAAGAAACAGGCGAGTTTATCCTCTCTGGTTGTCTTGAGGTAAACATGTTCGAAACATCTGGGCTTAGGATCCCTGGTTGGAACAAGACCCGAACCGTGCCAAACACAAAAAAATCCAACTGAGCATGGGTGCTTTTCGGGGGGAACATAGATGACCCTGAGGTTAGGTGATAAGACAACCGATCGGTCAACCAGGAATCGCCATCTATATACCAAAACAAGCAAACCTGGAGGCCCAATTGATACAGAAAAAAGTGCCCAATTGCATTTTCGGAGTTCGAGCGCTTTTTTCTGCCCGATTGGAAGCGAACAGTTTTGAAGACAGCTTGGCCTTCGGGCGCAACTTCGCGCAACTCGGGCGCAAATCCGCGCAACCAAGCGCAAAACATTCGAGCACACAAATTTCTGTATCAATTGGGCCTCCAGGAAACAAACACCTATGCACGTGAGAACCTGGGTCCTTCAAAGCTCCGACCGGGGAGCTGCCATGTCGAGAACTCGTGCAAGTCGTGGACCCATTTTCTACTGCTCCACACGTGGCCCATTTTCTGGCGCTGGGGTACTACGGGTGTTTCTCCACGTTTCGGAACCTGGAGGTTGGGTTTCAACTGGGGGGAACCCGTTCCTTCGATAAAACCACGCAGCACAACCTCCATTTGCTTAAGTCCCCTGAAAAAAAAGAGATATGTCCAGTAGTGATAGATTCCCTTTAAAACCAACAGGGGAAAATAAAACATGTCCTTAAGCAAATGGAAGCAAACCGAGCGCCTCTTGCTCCGTAAGCAATCCAAGAAGCTCCTCGCTCAGCGAGCCCATTTGTTGCCTCGGATGCCATACGCGCTGATGGTCCACCGAAACTGGGCTCAGATTGTCTGCTAAAAGCTTCTTGGTGGACGTTGAAGGGGAGCAAACAATTTAAATCTTGGCAGTCAAGTGGACTTGGATTTCAACCACTAAACCACAAGAAGATCAAACAATGGGGAAAAGTGTTTCCCAACAACCACCATGTTTTAACTTTTAGTGGGTGAATTGGACATCCCCACATACTAAAAGGCTAAGAAGCTAAGGAGCTAAGATGGCTGGGAAGCGCCGAGAAAAGCCGCGCTTCATTCATCCGGGTCAAGAAAACGGGTGTGCGATACACATCGAGTATCTTCAATAAATCTCACTGGCTGAGTGGATGGCCCAAAAAAAGGTCAAACTATATAATTACAACTAAAATGGTCTTCCCAAAAAGTTTAAAGTTTATGAACTCAGAAAGTGAGAAATGCTGTTTGTCGACTACAGCGCAGAGCAAATTTTTAGTTCTCCAAATTTGCCACTTCACGAAATGGTGAAGTAAAATGCGGTGACAAATCAAACCAAAAAGCAAGACTTGACAGGGAATTCGCATCTCACAGAACTCAACAGTCTTCCCTTCTTGGCAAAGGTTCAAGAAGGTCCTCGTGTTTTGCAGTCACCTTAGAGGCTCATACGAATTGCAATCGAATCTCTCAACATCAATCCGCAATGGGCGAATCTTGCATCTAAGATCTACAGGTCAAACAGCATCAGGTCAACCTTCACAAACAATTCAGTGGCCTGTTCTGCTCAAAGTGTTTGACATGCCATGCTTTTTCCTAGGAATAGGGTGAGGCCGCTTGTCGACTTTCATGTAACAATCACGAATCACGCAAAACAGCTCGAAGTTGAACCAAGGTTACCTCATGAAAAAGGTTATTCAGGTTTGAGTGCAAGTCACCCTCGACATGCTCACCCCGCAACATTCTCCGCGTGAGCAACGGCCCACCGCTTACACCGCGCCTGTAATGTGTAGCATCACAGCGCTCCTGGCCCGGTGGAGCCGACCAATGAAAACTCATGATACCTCAAGCACCCCACAACAGGGATCCGGATGCATTATACACCGATCGAACATTGCAACTTGTAAATGGTCCTGTCCCTTTATTTTGGTGGAAAAAGCCATGTTTCAAATGGTTGCAAAATGTATTTTTTAAGGAGCCCTGCACAAGTTCAATAGCTGTTGAGTTCCCCAATCCCCGGGGAAAAGCATGGGCCGTGATTTCCCCTTGTGCTACAGGGAAACTCTATGTGGAATGCTCCGATAGGGCACGGGTACCCCTTAAACGACAGGGGGACCATCCCAACCCCTGTAAACTCTTGTCAACTGGAATATCAATGCTGAGAGGCTGAGTTTGATGGTGCCTTTTATGCAAATGTGTGTTGTGCCTCAAACACAAGTCCCACGGTTCGATTGCCCGACACGGGATTGCTATCCACAAGGTTGTCCTGAGATGACTGAGCTTATGTGTTTGGGAAAGTCTATGCTTCCGAAAGGCGCGATCGCCTTTCAGACCCCTCAAGCATTTGTTTCGCAAAACGCTGGAGGACTATGAGAGCTTGAGCCCTGCTTGCTTTGCGACAGCGGCAACCTCACTCCCCTCTCATGTGCAGTGGCCAAAACGAATTGGTGGGAGCACTGGTGCATTTTGACATGCCAACATTGAAACTTGGGGTTCTTTGCCCTCCGGTTCTCATGTCCACAATTCTCAGGGCTCAAAATGAAGCTTTTGGGTTGCCACGGAACGCCTACCTGAGACAACCCCTCGTCCGACAGGTGTCACCGCCCCCCTTCCGGTGGCCTCCCTTTGACTCTGCTGATGACTTCTCCAACCTCCTTTTGGTCAACGCACCCTTGGACTCTCCCACATACCACATGTGCCAAAACATGGGAGCCCCCCAAAAATGGAGTTGGGTGGTGCTTTTGGTAAACGACTCAACCTGGGCTGTCCTCAGATCCCCGCTAAAAGTTTGACTTTTAGTGGATTAGATATGGAAATCCAACCACCAAACCAACTAAGAAGCTACCAGAAAAACTCAGGAACCGGATGGCTGGTTGAACCACCCAAGTTCACAGTCGTTGAAAGGGAAGCTTCAAAGGGAAACGACCCAATTCGAATGCTTCCACCTTGAACCAGCGCCACACATCACCCACTCTGCCTCCTCACTGAGTTGCTGAAGCTGCCTCATCCAGGCGTCAAAGCTGATTAGGAGCCCTGGGTATTTGGGGGGTGGATCAAAAGGCCCGGTGACCATTAGGATAACCACCATTTGTTCATGTTTTCGTAGCTAAATGGAGCTGTTAGCAATGGTCATTTTGGGGCCAGGAATATTGAGCAACCCAGGATATGCA